TGCCATGAAGGCTGGCAGCTTGGGGACTATCTCACCTTGTCCATGCTTTTATATTTGCTGCCTTTAAGGCAGCCTTTCCTTCAAGTCTCCTCAGGAATCCACAGATGGTATTGTCTCTGGAAATGTCACCCTGAACTTGCAGCCTGGGTTCTCCTTATGCACCACTTGGTGCTGTGGGATCCTCTAGATGCCCCTAGGTACTTATGCTTGACACTTAGTTGCCTGGATTCTGTTGACGCTATCCTGTTCTGGAAGGCGGAAGATGACTTTGTCCCTAGTCCTTGCCCATAATTAATTTTTTTTTAATTTATGCATACAAGAGCTGGGGTACAGGCCAGAGGTGTGGGGGGGGGGGAGATGATTCACCAGAGATAGAATGGGGAACAGAACAGGCAGACTGACTGAAATACACTGCTGAAGGGAGCAGCAGGCGAGACAGGAGAGGTCTGCTGCACCATGTGGGTCAGCTCCCTGGCCAGGATGGAACTCATGCCGCAATAGCTGGTGATAGCTTGATCGTGCTGAGACTTAAACCACTGCACCACCAGGGAGGCCCTGGCCCATAGTTTATTTATTTATTTATTTTTAAAGATTTAGTATTTTATGCATACAAGAACTGGTGTGGGGGCCTCCCCAGTGGTGCAGCGGTTGAGCGCTGGGTGGCGAAGCTGCCCGCGGCCTCTGCGGCGCGGGTTCGATCCCCGGCTGCTCCCCGGCCACTGGAGGAGGGTCCCACTTGGCGCGCAGACCTCTCCTGCTGCCCGCTGCTCCCCTCAGCAGTGTACTTCGGTCCTTCTGCCTGCTCTGTTCCCTGCTCTGGCTCTGGTGAATTCTCTCACCCTCCCATGCTTCTGATTGTACCCAGTGCATGTATAAACAAACCATCAAACAAACAAATAAATAAATAAATAAAAACATGCCTCTCTAAAAAAAAAAAAAAAGAACTGGTGTGTAGGCCAGAGGTGTGTGTGTGGGGGGAGAGGATTCACCAGAGACAGTAGGAAACAGAACAGACTGACTGAAATACACTGCTGAGGGGAGCAGTGGGCGAGACAGGAGGTCTGCTGTGCCATACATGGGTCGGCTCCCTCGCTGGAGATCAAACTCATGTTGCAGTGGCTGGCAGTAGCTTGATAGCACTGTCTTTAACCCCTGCACCACTACAGAGGTCACCGTGGCCCATAGTTTAATAAATAATTGCCCTGTCATTTGGGGGAACTGCATTTGGGAAATGGGAAATCAAAGGAATAACTAGTCAACAAATTTTATTGAACATGACTATGAGCCAGGTCTGCACTGGACTAACAGCGGTAAGACATATGTTGAACCTGATTTCATGAGCCATGTACAAGTTAATATACAATCAATAATAAATTAATAAAGGCTTACATGCACATGTCTATCACAACTTTGTGTTTGATGAGTTCAGGAAGCTTTGTGGTGGTCAGACAAGATTTGAATTCAGATTTTGTGTCCTGAAGCTTAACAATTTGAAGGAACCTCCTTAAGAAAACCAAAACAAAATTATAAACGTAACATTTGGAATAAAAGTTAATGTTTATTCAGATTGAGAAATCACAATCAGTTGCAAATGTTAAAGTGACAAATACTGTATTACAAAGTCTAGAAAAACAGCGTATTGGTAGTAAACAACTGTCCAACACGCTCTATATTTTTATTTCTTACCTTTTTCTTAAATGTGTGTGCTCTGATTACCTCTTTTTTTTTTAAAGATTTATTTTTATTTATTTATGCATACAATATCTGGAGTGTAGGCCAGAGGGGTAAGGGGACTAACCTGAGACAGAGTGGGGAGCAGAACAGGCAAACCTATTCACTGCTGAAGAGAGCAGCGGGCAAGTCAGGAGAGGTCTGCTGCACCATGTGGGTTAGCTCTCTAGGTGGGGATGGAACTTATGTTGCAGTGACTGGCATAGCTTGATAGCACTAAGACTTTAACCCCCGTGCCACCAGGGAGGCCCTGTGACCACCTCTTCATGTGATTTTGTAATATTATTTCCTATCCTTTCGGTATCTCGGTCTTTTTCTAGTATGGCTGATTGAATTTTGGCTTTCACTATTGAGAATTTATAAGAATCTCTTTAAGCTTTATAACTCATTATTGGTAATGTCAAAACTATCAAATTCCTTTATGTAAGAGCTGTAGGATTTCATGTCATTTCAGATGTTCTCCACTCTGTCTGCCTTCTAAAATGTTTTATTAATCAGGGTGGTGGGAGGGGCCAGTAGATAAAGGGCTGAAGCTTAATTTCATGAGTTGTCAGGTAAAATGTAACACAAAATGGTGAAAGGGATGATTTATTACAGATAGGAAGTGTTCTAATTCTAAGATTGCTTAAAACCACTGTAGTGATATGGATAGCAAAAAGAAAACCCTACCAATTATTCAGGGGTGCTCCATTCAAGGTGATGAGTGATAGTGTTTTGATCACGAGCAGGGACAGGAGTGACAGCTTACTATGGGGGGGGGGGGACCAGTGAAGTGATCTAATAATGAGGAAGAGAGGATAAGAGATTTGTTTGGGTCTGTGGAACAAGCCTCAGTTGGGTAATGATGTAGAAGCTCACCTGTGGAATGGAATTCACTGGGAAGTGGTCCAGGGGGCTCAGAGGGTAGAGGAAATGACTTCACACCTATGGGACAGACCAAGAGTAATTTCTGATACTGGGATGAAAATTACAGATATCCTCTCCATGGAAAGGGAAAATAATATTATTTCTTTCAGATTTTAAGATCTTTGAGGCCTTGAGTCATGTTTTCCAAACTGTGCAAATTAGCACAGTGAACACCAGCACATAGTAGCTGCTTAATAAAGGTTTCATTTTTATTAATTTTATTGTTATATTCTAAATACTAAGAACTGGATTACACGCTGGGGGACAGGGGCTGAGGACCCCATGATATGGGGTGACTGAGTATTTTTTTACATCAGCTGCTCTCCTCCCTATTGCTGAAGGGTTCTGGTCCTCAGGCGACAGAAATATAGGGTTCAAATCTTCAGTGACCTGTTACCCCTTCATCCCTCTGTCTCAGCCTCATTCCACCCTGCTTCATTTCTGTGTCTCTGAGTGTCTCTCATCATTCAGGCCACGAATCCCCCACCCCATAATGATGAATCATAGTTCCTCCATATGATGCAACCCTTCCAAAATGAGAAAAGGCAAGCCATCTGAGGGGAGAGCCCAGGAGGGGACAGAGACCCTAGGGAATCTGAGCTCAGAGTGAGAGAAGGAAAGGTGTGTGGGGAGTGGAGGTGGGGGGGATGAGTAGCCTAGAGGGAGAAACTTGAATAAGAGAAGGGAGATTAGGTTTGGCTCAGGGAAGGAGGAGGGGATTCCCAGCCCTGGCCTGGTCTGCCTGGCTCCAGCAAAGCCGGCTGTTTCCTGCCCTCAGTGACCCCCCCCACCCCGGAGCAGGACCCAGGCAGGGCAACGAGGAAGGGCAGGGGTGTAGGGAGCACCACTTGTGGCAGGAAGATAAGTGCACTGTGACAAGAGGTCACTGCAGGCCTGGCTGTCCTCTCGGGTGTTGGAGGCTCTTGGCAGTCCCCCAAGTTCTGAGAACTCCTTCCCTGCCTCCTGTCTCCTCCAGACTGTCCCCCTCGAAATACCTTGAGTCTAAGCCCCTTTCTTCCAGTTTGTTCCCCGGCAGAGTCAAACCACCCCATGACCCACACTGTAGGTGAACCAACCTAGAGGAGGGTTGGTGGGAGGAGCACTGCTTTCCCGGACCCTCCCCTCTGATGGGATGGGGGGGTGGTAGGAGGGGGGCGCAGGCTACGAGAGGAAAGGCCTCCCAGCCATCCCAAGGGCCCCCAGGAGCCAGACAGGAAACAGCTTCAGGAAAGACTGCGGCAACCCGGGCCCCAGCCCCAGGGGTCAGGTCTTCTGGCGGCAAGGAGCCTCCCAAACTCGACAACGGGAGCGCAGACAGTGATTTGAGAATCCATTCCCCTCCGTTCGGACCCACCTGCCTGTTATTTACCCTTGCTTCCATTATTTTTGTATAGTCCTTTCCACCTCAATCGATTGCCCCGCTTCCTCCCCACATTTTCCGGCGCCAGGGCGCGCACACAGCAGGTCCCCAACAGTCAATGTCTGTTGAATGTTTATGTGAACGCCACGGGGTTATCTAAGATGGGCTCGCGGTCTCCAGGCCCCGCTGGGCCATCCTCCATCCTTACAAGCGTTCCCCAAACACGGCCCCCTGCACCAACTAGGGGGTGGCGATCGCATCCAGTACAAACCGAAGTCCTCAACGGGGTCCGACGGGCTTGGAGCCTACAAAGCACATTTTTGCGCACGTCCGTGGCCCTCTGCGTGGCTGGGCGTGTTTCTCTGCTCCCTGGGGAGTGCCGGCTTCGGACCCGGCCCCCGGGCCGAGGCCGGGACACTGGCAGCCCGAGCCAGGGCGCTCGGCCACCGCGCACGTCGGGGCCGCCCCCCAGCTCCGCGCCCGCCGCCCCTCCCCCTCTTCCAAACTTTCTCCAACTTCCCGACCTGCTCAGCTCCGCGCCCAGCTCCGCTTCCCTTATGAATTATTCAGCAGCGCGCGCTCCAATCAGCGCACCCCAGCCTCCAAGCCGAGTTCGGGCGGGGGGAGGAATGGGGGCTCCCCCGCCCCCGCGCGCCCCTCCCTCCCCGGTCAGGCGCCGCCCGACCCAGTCCCAGCCCGGCCCAGCCCCTGCCCACCGGCCCCGCGCCGCCTCGCCCTCCCTCCCGCTCGGGTCCCGGCTCCGGCTCCCACCCTCCCCGCCGGCGCGCACTGCGCTCATCCCGGTGGCGCGAGCTGCGCCCCTCCAGGGCGGGGGGAGGCCGCGGGCGGCCGGCCGACACCAGCCTGCCAGGACCAGACCCCGAAGCCCCGGGGACACCCGCAGGTCCAGCCACGTCTCGTCCGGCGCGGCCACTGCGAGGACGCCCCCTGCGCGCGCGTGCGGCGGGGACGCCGGGCCACACCTGGGCGCCGCGGTCGGGTGCCCGGCGCGCCCGCATGGGCCCGCGCTGAGGCCCCGGCTGAGAGTCCTGAGCGCGGAGTCGGCGTCTGCCCGCTCAGGGGGTGTTCAGACCTGGGGGGGCTAGCGCCCCCCAAACTCGGATCGGATCCAACCGGAGTGAGGCGGCGCCATGGAGGTCCGAGCTCTGCTCTGCTGGGCTTCGCTTGCGGCTGCTTTAGAAGGTGAGTTTAGTTGGGGGCACCCCCGTCACTCCTGGAGCCCCCGAAGTTGGGCCTCAGAGTGGAGGGTCCGATCCCCTCTCTACCCCTGCGCCCGCACCCCAGCCCCAAACACTTTGGACCAATAGTGCTAGGACGGGAGGGGGCGGGGAGGAGGCGGCCCAGCGGGGAGTGGAGTTTTCTTTTGTTTGGGCAAAAGAGCTAGAGTCGAGCTCAGTCCCGGGACCTTCTCCTCCCCAGCTCCCCAAGTTTACATCCTGACTCTAAACGCCCTTGGCAGCCTTTCCTTGTCTCCTTCAACAGTCAAAACTCTTCCCAAAGTTTCTGACCCACCGCCCCTCAAACACGAGGAAAGGTTTCTGGAGGAGCAAATGCAGACAACGCAGAACTTTGTGCTAGGCCTGAGAACTACCCCTGCCCCCATTGCTGAGCCTTTACACCTTGAGTCTTGATGCCACAGGCTGGATGCACTCACATCTTGCACTCACATTCCAACCCCCAAATCTCTTGCAAAGCCTCTGCCCCTGCTGCAGCGAGGACCACCCCCGCCCTAACCAGGTTTCCCCAGGCTGCACCCAGCCCTTTAAATGCCATCTAGACCCCAGCCCTGCATGAGTCCTAACTAGCTTTCCTCCCACCCTGCAGGCCTGCAGAATCTGACCTGCATGGCTCCCATGTCCCCAGAACTCAGCCTAATTAGTCTATAAATTTCTAATTTTTCTCTCTTTTCCCCAAATATTTCTTCATCCATTAGTCTGTCTCCTCCCTTCATCCCCTAGCCAGGGAACCAAGAGCCCTCTGACCCTCCTTCTAGGGCCCTAATCTCCTTTCAATGAGCTACCTCCTCCCCCTTCACTGCCTGGAATCAAAGGGGTCTGCGAGGAATGGGCCATGGGGGGCTGCTGAGGAGGAGGAATCAAAGACAGTTAGAAACCCCTATCCCCCAGGCTGGGCAGCGCTGCTCTGGGCTGGGGATCAAAGGCTAGATGTGGGGGGTTGGGGGGGAGACTTGTCCGACTCAGAAAAAGAAGGGAAAAGGGCTACGGGAGAGCGGAAGGCAGACAGAAGCAAAGAAAACCACCCAGAGCAAGTGTGATGAGAGGGAAGGAAAGATGCAGAGAGGACAAGCCGAGCTTCTGATTCAGTTTACCCAGTGCTCGCCCAGGCGGGTGCTAAGGGATTCACATTTTCATGGCTCCAACAACCCAGCGGGTGGGAAGTATTGTTACCCCGTTTTACAGATGAAGAGACTGAGACTTAGGAGAGGTAAGCATTGGTGGTTTTATCCAGGTGTCCCAGGCAAGGTGAAAGTGGGACTCAGGGAAAAAAAACCGGGAGAGGGGGAGATAATATTGGCCAGAAAGAGAAATGGAGGTGGATGGAGAGGTGAGAGGAGAGAACTGACAGACCAGAAAGAGCCAGAGGCACGCAAGGCCAAGGTAGGATGAGAGAAAGTGAGGCTTTCGGAGGACAGCCCTGAAACAGACAGTGTGTAAATTGGAGACAGGAAAACACTATCCAGCCTGGAACAATGGAGGGTGGGGACGGCAGCCTCCATCCACCCTCTTCCTAGAACCCGTATCCTGTCCCCAGCGTGCCGCGCTGTCTCCTGCCACCCAAGGGGGGCCCCTGCCTCACCTCGGGCTAATGGGGGTCTCACCTGACCCCCAACCTGACCTGGACATGTGTTGGTCTGTTGGAGGAGGCTGCCCCACCCACCTACCTTCCCTTCTCTCCTGCAGTCGCCCCAGGATGGAGGGGGGGCCCTGGTCTCAGGTGCTAGCACTGGTTCCCAGGGGGGCCCTCCTCTTCTCCCAGGGCCCTGCCTCCTGCCCCTCACCTTGCCCTGGCCTCCCAGGGGATTCCCCTAGCCTCCCTCCACCCTCCACTGCCAGGGGCTGTGCAGTTTCTCTTAATCCCCCACTTCTGCCAGAGCCCCGCCCCTCAGCCCGACACCCCTCCCCTGAGGCAAGAGCCAGGTGTGTTCACCCCCCCCACACACACACCCCTAAAATCTCCCTTTTTCCTTCCCATAATGAAATCCAGATGTGAGGCCTCTGTGGGGCAGGGTCCAGGGTCCCAGCGCCAGCACTTCCTCCTCCCATGGCAGCGAGCTGCCGGGGAGGGAGCTGGGGGTCAGGGCTGGGCCTCAGGAGCTCAGCCCCACCTTCTAGAATCTGGAGGATTGGAGCGGTTTGTCCCAAAAGAGGGTGGGGACCAGGAAGAGTAGAGTGGGGGAAGGGAAAGGGAAGGACTTTGGAATGGGGAAGGTAGTGTGGAGGCTGTAGCAAGTTCTGAAGGGAGGGGTGTCCAGGCCCAGCAGCCCTTTGCCCACCAACGGGGTCAGGGCCAGGTCAGGGCTCTGGTTTAACGCTTTCTGAGCTACTTAGCCTTCTCTTCCAGCATTTTCACCTCTCTCTCCAGCACCCAGCTATTCCCAGAGTCCAGATCTGGGGGTCCTGAGGAGGTAGCCCTCAGCCTGCCAGCAGTTAGGAGTGGGGTGGGAGCAGAGGGCAGGACTTGCTCCCTTTCTCATCTCATCCTCTGCCTGACTCCTGTTTGGAGCTCAGAGGACTCACCTATCTCGGTTTCCAGGCATCTGACTATCTGTATCTGTCTTAGAGACCCTACTGAACACGAAATTGGAGACTGCCGATCTGAAGTGGGTGACTTTCCCCCAGGTGGACGGGCAGGTAAGACCCGAGGAGGGAAGCAGAGGGAGGAAGACACCTGTGCTGACCTGCTTCCTGTGCTACCTCCCCCCTCCCTCACAGTAGCAAAAGCTGGTGTCCCCATGCCAAGTCCTCCTTGCTTGATGACTGCAGACTCCACTGATCTCCCTGCTTAGCGGCCTCCAAGCTGATCCTCTTCTCCCCGCAGTGGGAGGAGCTGAGTGGCCTGGATGAGGAGCAGCATAGCGTGCGGACCTACGAGGTGTGTGATGTGGCGCGGGCCCCCGGCCAGGCCCACTGGCTGCGTACCAGCTGGGTCCCCCGGCGAGGCGCCATCCACGTGTACGCTACCCTGCGCTTCACCATGCTCGAGTGCCTGTCCCTACCGCGTGCTGGGCGCTCGTGCAAGGAGACCTTCACTGTCTTCTACTTTGAGAGCGACGCTGACACGGCAACGGCCCTCACACCAGCGTGGATGGAGAATCCCTACATCAAGGTACCCAGGTGCCCGGGGCACCAGCCCCAGCGAAGGGTGGGGCTGGGGCCCTTGGGCTGCCCCTTGGCCCCCAGAGGAGGTCATCCTGCCACTCCACTCCACTATACTCAGGTCACCCACATTTCCCTTGTTCTCCGACTATACCTCGCCCTTTACACCCCCATGTCTCGGCCTGGGCCTTGGCTGATGCCTCGCCCCGGCATGCCTTTCCTCTGCCTCTTTTACCAGCTCCTACTTGTCTCTAAGTTCCAGCTCCAAGGTCTTTCCTGGGACACTTTTGCTGATGCTCCCAGCCCTGGGGTCCCACCTGTAGTAGCACGCATCGTACTTTATAATTGACCTTGTTTCCTTCATTTCTTTTTCCTTGGCACTGAGTCCAAGGCCTAGCTTAGACTAGGTGCTGAGTACGTTTGTAGAATGAGTGAATGAATGGGAAGGGGCTACAGAACAGGCTGCACACATTGTAGAATCTTAGCAAGGATTAAGGGACAATGTTGGTGCCTACAGCAAAATGCACATTGAGAAGGCGAACACAAAGTTCTGGAGCTTGAACTGGGCAGGTCAGGGAGAGCGGGTGAGCTGGGAAGAAGACTGTCCATCATGGTCTTTGGGGAGCAGAGGACAATACCAGTGAGTCTCCTTCCCAACTTGGCAGGTGGACACAGTCGCTGCTGAGCACCTGACTCGGAAGCGTCCGGGGGCCGAAGCAACAGGGAAGGTGAATGTCAAAACGCTGCGTCTGGGCCCACTCACCAAGGCTGGCTTCTACCTGGCCTTCCAGGACCAGGGCGCCTGCATGGCCCTGTTGTCCCTGCACCTCTTCTACAAGAAGTGTGCCCAGCAGATCATGAACCTCACCCACTTCCCGGAGACCGTGCCTCGAGAGCTTGTGGTATCCGTGACAGGGAGCTGCGTGGCAGATGCTGTCCCTGCCCCGGGCCCCAGCCTCAGCCTCTTCTGCCGGGAGGATGGCCAGTGGACTGGGCCACCAGTCACTGGTTGCAGCTGTGCTCCAGGGTTCGAGGCCACCGATGGGAATTCCAAGTGCCGAGGTAAGGGCTGACGCCTGCCCCATGGAATTGATTTGCCCATCTATGTGGGGAAGGTCCTGTACCCCATTCTTTGCCCACTTCTTAATTTTACATTTTAAACTACCCCCCCCCCCATCCCGGGTGCTCAGTTATTGGAGGGCCTGTTTTTAATATAGTTCTGAACTCTTCCTTACTTCCACACTTTTTCTCCTAACCACGTTCAACTCCTTTCTGGATGTGGAGTCTGTGCTGGGATGCCTGCCCGTCCTTAGAGTCCCTGATGGGCTCAGCGGGCTAAGACATCAGGTGTCTACTCCTGTTTCCTCTAACTGAATCCTCACTTAGCTTTTCGTCTGCAGCAGGGGCTCTTAGCCTGGGTTTGTAGGTAGAATGTAGGGAATCTGTGGATCTTGGTGGAGATAAACGTTAACTTATTTATTTACATTCATCTCCATCTGAAATTGGCTGCTCCTTTTGTATGGAATTTCAGCAGCAGAGCCCAGTGGCCATAGCAGGACATAAAACTAGAGCCCCATGCAGATGGGGGGTGCTTTCTCAGCCAGACAGACATGCGGGAATGTCAGAATGCTGTTTTTGCTCAACACTTCAGTATTACAATGGCTATTAGACCTGCTGCTGTCTCTCATTAATAAAGAAACGCATGGGGCCTCCCTGGTGGCGCAGGGGTTAAAGTCTCAGTGCTATTTATCTATCGGCAGCCACTGCAGCACGAGTTCGATCCCCGGCCAGGGAGCTAACCCACACATGGCGCAGCAGACCTCTCCTGTCTCGCCCGCTGCTCCCTCCAGCAGTGTATCTCAGTGGATCCACCTGTTCTGCTCCCCACTCTGTCTCTGGTGAATCCTCTCACCTCCTGCACCTCTGGCCTGCACCCCAGCTCTTGTATGCATAAGTAAATAAATCTTAAAAAAAAAAATGCATGCATTGCTATGTTGCAAACTTGTTTTCTTCATGTTTGGCTCATTTGGGCTTACTTGGGTTTCCTTTTTCATCCTGTATATCTTGTGTATGTTTGAGAATCACTCTTGTGGGTGGAGTCTGAATTCCACCAGCCTGCCATGTGAGGGAGGTGTGGGTGACATAACCACGGAATGTTTTTGATTAATGCTTTCTCTCAGCCTGTTCCCAGGGCACCTTTAAGCCCCTCTCTGGGGAGGGCTCCTGCCAGCCATGTCCAGCCAACAGCCACTCCAACACCATTGGCTCCCCCATCTGTCAGTGCCGCATTGGGTACTTCCGAGCCCACACAGATCCCCGGGGTGCACCCTGCACCAGTAAGTGTCTTTTGGGGTCAACCCCCACCCTATCCTCTCAGACCTTCCTCCCACTCTTGATCCTCACTTGCTGTTGCCCAGCCAAGACAAGAAGTCAGTGTGAATACCTGTCTGTCCTGCAGCCCCTCCCTCCGCTCCAAGAAGCGTGGTTTCTCGCTTGAATGGCTCTTCCCTGCGTCTGGAGTGGAGTACCCCTCTGGAGTCAGGTGGCCGGGAAGACCTCACCTATGCCCTCCGCTGCCGGGAGTGCCGCCCTGGGGGTTCCTGCACGCCCTGCGGAGGAGACCTAACCTTCGATCCTGGCCCCCGAGAGCTGGTGGACCCCTGGGTGGCAGTTCGTGGACTGCGTCCTGACTTCACCTATACCTTTGAGGTCACCGCCTTGAATGGGGTATCCTCCTTAGCCACCGGACCTGTCCCGTTCGAGGCTGTGAATGTCACCACTGACCGAGAGGGTGAGCTAGAGTGGGACCTGGGGGCAGCCCATGGTCACTTGGGAGAGATGTTGGTGGAAAAGGCAGGCGAGGGGTGTGAAGGCCTGAAGGAAAATAGGCAGGGCTGCAGAGTGGGTCCTCATGAAGTATGGAAGGTAAAGTAAAGTCATGGAGGATAAGAGGCAGGTTGCAAAGGCAGGCTGTAGAGTCAAGGAGGGGCCAAAGGGAACAGATAGAAATCTTGCAACAATTGGAGGAACAAGACAAGTGTAGCCAGCAGAGGAAAAGTTGGGAAGCATAAGAGACAGGCCTACCATGTGGAAGGACCTCAACATGTCCTGTCTCTTACAGTGCCACCCCCAGTGACTGACATCCAGGTGACACGGTCATCACCCAGCAGCTTGAGCCTGGCGTGGGCTGTTCCCCGGGCACCCAGTGGGGCCGTGCTAGACTATGAAGTCAAGTATCATGAGAAGGTAAGACCAGGTCCCACCCCTGGAGTGGGGTTGCTCAGTGGGACAGACTCCTGGGGCCAGACACCTGTTGTAGGCATCAGGCAGGTGTGTGAATTCCGGCTCCTGTACTGTATGATCTTGGGCCAACCACTTGGCCTCTGAGTTCAGTCTCCCCATAATCAAATGGTGATGATAACAGTACCAACCCCACAGAGTTGCTGGAAACATTAAATAACATAACAGGGGCTTCTTTGGTGGCACAGGGGTTAAACTCTTAGTACTATCAAACTACTTCCAGCCACCATGGCATGAGTTTGATCCCTGGCCAGGGAGCTACCCACATGGTGCAGCAGACCTCTCCTGTCTCGCCCACTGCTCCCCTCAGCAGTGTATTAGTAGATCTGCCTGTTCTGCTCCCTACTCTGTCTCTGGTGAATCCTCTCACCCCCCACCTTGCATCTCTGGCCTACACCCCAGTTCTTATATGCATAAATAAATGAAATGCATAAATAAATGACATAATAGATGCAAAACATATAGGATGGTGCACACATAAGTGAGCACGAGGCCCCCACCAGCTTCCCTCCAGGACCAAGATGGGGGCACAGGATGGGGGAGACAGAAGAGCAGCAGAAACTGGGGGCCCTGGCTTACGACCAGCTTCCTCTTCCTCTTCAACAGGGTGCGGAGGGTCCTAGCAGCGTGAGGTTCCTGAAGACGTCAGAAAACCGGGCAGAGCTTCGGGGGCTGAAGCGGGGAGCCAGCTACCTGGTACAGGTGCGGGCACGCTCCGAGGCTGGTTACGGGCCCTTCGGCCAGGAGCACCACAGCCAGACCCAGCTGGATGGTGAGCAGGGGGAGCAGGGTGTGAATAGGGGTACCGATCCCCACCAGGCAGGAGACCTTGCCTCTGCCCTGACAGGACCCCCAAGGGGTCACATTCCCACGCTCCTCTTTCTCTCAAACGTGAGGCATATTGGCCTCCGAGGAGAGCATGGGATGTAAAATCCAAAACCAACAGCTGGGTGTGAAGATCAGTGACCTTCCAGCTGTGTGACCTTAACAACACTTGACCCTTAAGCCCCAGCTCTCATCCAAAAAATTGGTAATATCATGAGGCCTCTCTCACAGGGTTCCAAGGATTAAATGAGGGACACCTGTTAGTTGTAATATACTGACCCAATTGTGGAGATATGAATCACACACAGTACAACACCCATTTAAAATGTACAATTCAGTGTTTTTTCCATGTATTCAGAGTTGTGCACCCGTCACTATAATTCATTCAAGGTCATTTAAGCACCCCAAAAAGAGACCCTAGGAACTCTTCCATCTCACCCCAATTGTCCCCAAGACCCTGGAAAACAATAACCTTTTTAAATTTTTTCACTTTTTTATGAAGGCATAGTTGACGTAGATTTTATTGATTTCAGGCGCCCAACTGGGATTTAGTGTGCGAAACGGTCATCATGAGACATCTAGGCGCCCCCATAGAAAGTTAGCCTTTAGGATTTACCCCTTTGGCAGCCTTTGCGTGAGCTCTCCAGTAGTACTGACTGGGGTCTCTGTGCTGCCCAGGCCATCCCCAGGACTCGATTGATCCCTGGAAGTTCGTCCCTCTTCCGCCGGTCACCTTGTCCACCCTCCCCCCCCCCACAACCCTCCCCTCCGGCAGCCACCATTCTGATCACTAATCCACCATCTGTCTCTATACATTTGCCTAGTCTGGCTGTTTCTCACTAGTGGAATCAGACACTATGTGTCCCCTTGGGGTCGTGTTCCAGGTGCATCCATCTTGTCTCATGTGTTAGGACTTTGATTTTCGTGGGTGAAAAATACTCCTCTGTATGGCTATAGCGTGTTTATTTGTCCGTTCATCTGTCAATAAACATATGGACTGCTTCTGCTTCTTGGCTGCAAACCTTTACATTGTCAGCCTTTGGAAACTTTTGGGCCCTTTTTGCAGTCTGGTATTTTTTTTTTTTTTTTTTTTTTTTTATTAATGCTCGCCATCTCTTTTTTTCCTTTAATATTTATTTTATTTATTTATACAAGCACCGGGTACAGTCAGAAGCGCGGGAGGGTGAGAGAATTCACCAGAGCCAGAGCGGGGAGCAGAGCAGGCAGAGGGACTGAGGTACACTGCTGAGGGGAGCAGCGGGCGGCAGGAGAGGTCTGCGCGCCATGTGGGACCCTCCTCCAGTGGCCGGGGAGCAGCCAGGGATCGAACTGGCGCTGCAGAGGCTGCGGGCAGCTTCGCAACCCAGCGCTCAACCGCTGCGCCACCGGGGAGGCCCTGCAGTCTGGTATTTTTAACAGCACAAAATATAACTTGCTCTAGCAATAAGATTGGGAAACTTCTTCTTTTGCCCTGAAGGACTTCAGAGGAGTTCACGCTGCTAATTCTGTGGCACCTCTTTCTCTTGGGCCTGTAGAAAACACTGTGCTTCCTCCAACCCTGCCTGCCCTTCAGCTTCTCCTCCACCTGCCACACTGTGCTGTGCCCTGTTCCTCTTGGCTGGTGTGGGGGCCATCAGGTTCCCCATTCACCATTCTTTCTTCCCCCAGAGAATGAGAGCTGGCGGGAGCAGCTAGCCCTGATCGCAGGCATGGCGGTGGTGGGCGTGGTGCTGGTCCTGGTGGTCATCGTCATCGCCGTTCTCTGCCTCAGGTGAGGACTCTTGGCATGTGGAGGCCCCTGTGTAGATGGCCACCTGCCTTCTTGCTCCAGGCCCATATTCCCTGGATGCTCCAGGAGACCGTTTTCACTTGGAATCTTCCCTGAGCCCTGCTCCCCTATTCCCGTGTGGTCCCTGTGGGAACATGAACTGCGCACCTCACCTTTTGCTTCTTTCCCATTGGCTCCAGGAAGCAGAGCAGCGGGAGAGAAGCTGAGTACTCGGACAAACATGGACAGTATCTTATTGGGCACGGTGGGTAACCCTCTCCTGAAGGAAACGGGGCGTGGGCAGGAGCTGGGAGTCAGAATCAGAGCCTCTAAGTTCGGGGGATGTTACCTCTTGGCTAACTGGGCCCTGGTGATCCCTCAGGTACTAAGGTCTACATTGACCCCTTCACTTACGAAGACCCGAATGAGGCTGTGAGGGAATTTGCAAAAGAGATTGATGTCTCCTACGTCAAGATTGAAGAGGTGATTGGCGCAGGTGAGAGGAAATGGAGGGTGCCCCAGGAAGAGTATGGGGGGGCGGGGAGTCAGGGCCCTAGCAGGGCGGAGGAGGCTGACCCTCCGCATGCTTACTGAAGGCGAGTTTGGTGAGGTGTGCCGGGGTCGGCTCAAGGCCCCCGGGAAGAAGGAGAGCTGCGTGGCCATCAAGACCCTGAAGGGTGGTTACACAGAGCGGCAGCGGCGAGAGTTCCTGAGCGAGGCCTCCATCATGGGCCAGTTTGAGCACCCCAACATCATCCGTCTGGAAGGTGTGGTCACCAACAGTGTGCCGGTCATGATTCTCACTGAGTTCATGGAGAATGGCGCCCTGGACTCCTTCCTGCGGGTGAGTCCCCTGCCTTGACCCCCTGTGCTCCCCCAGCTCAGCCCAGCAGCTCAAAGCCCAGGACATAAGGGGGTTCCCACGCAACTGTCCCTCCTCCCGTCCTCCCTTGAGGAGAGGCTGAGCTCCTGGGTCTGGTGGTCGGTAGTGGTGGGGATCACCTCCCGAGGGCCAGCTGACCCTGGGATATAGAAGGGTCCTCATTTGTCCCTAAGCCCCGCCTTATGTACCAGCCACTGTCCTAGGCCCAGGCGTAAAGTGCCTCTGTGGAGGGGGAGGGCGGGGGGGGGGGTGGACAGGCTGACCGGGTCATCTGGCTCACTGAAAGTAAACCAACAAGATTTTGTAAAAAGTAAACCATTTTAGAAGTGAGAAAAAAAATCAAACAGGGGCATGGAAACAGGCTGGAGATGAAAGAGCTTATTTATTTTTGACACAGGTTTTATTGATTTTTGGTTTTTTTCCCAACTTTACTATGCTTCTTTTTTTAAGGATTTATTTATTTACTTACTTATTTGTTATGTAAAAGAACTGGGGTGTAGGCCAGAGGTGTGGGGGGTGAGAGGATTCACCAGAGACAGAGTGGGGCACAAAACAGGAAGATCTGCTGAGGTATACTGCTGAGGGAAATAGGGGGTGAGAGAGGAGAGGTCTGCTGTGCCATGTGGGTCAGCTCCTTGGCTCGATATTGAACTCGATTGCACTAAGACTAAATCCCTAGGCCACAAGGGAGGCCCCAGCTTTATTGTGCTTTTTTTTTTTTTTTTTAATATTTATTTATTTATTTATTTATTTATTTGTTTGTTTGTTTGTTTATTTGTTTATTTATTTATTTATACAAGCATTGGGTACAGTCAGAAGCGCGGGAGGGTGAGAGAATTCACCAGAGCCAGAGCGGGGAGCAGAGCAGGCAGAAGGACCAAGGTACACTGCTGAGGGGAGCAGTGGGCGGCAGGAGAGGTCTGCGCGCCATGTGGGACCCTCCTCCGGTGGCCAGTGGCTGGGGAGCAGCCGGGGATCGAACCGGCACTGCAGAGGCTGCGGGCAGCTTCACAACCCAGCGCTCAACCGCTGTGCCACCGGGGAGGCCCCTTACTGTGCTTTTAAAAATTTTTTTGGTGTCGAAATCCCAGACTGTCCTTTTTTTTTTTTAATTGGAACATTTTCCTACACAACAAAGTAACATTGCAGTTAACAGAATTAATGGTTCTTTGATATCATCTAACCCCAGTCAACATTCACATTCCCCAGGTGTCCTCAAATTGTCCCTTACTGCTGCTTTACTCATCGGTAGCATCTTAACCCCTTGTGCCACCAGGGAGGCCCATTACTGCTTTATTCAAACCAGGATCCAGTTCAGGATCAAGCGTTGTACCTTGTGGTCATCTTTTTGAGCCTTTTCTAAATCCAGGAAAGTTCCTTTTCTTATGTTGAAGAGCTGGGCCACATTTCCCCTTGAATGACTTGCCTGCAGAATTTATCAGCTTCTCCCCAATGTTTTTTTTTTTTTTAAGATTTGTTTATATATTCAAGAACTGGGGTACAGGCCAGAGGTGTGGGGGGGATGAGAGGATTCGCCAGAGACAGAGTGGGGAACAGAACAGGCAGACTGACTGAAATACACTGCTGAGGGGAGCAGCAGGCGAGACAGGAGAGGTCTGCTGCATCATGTGGGTCACCTCCTTGGCTGGGGATCCAACTCATGCTGCAATGGCTGTGGATTGCTTCATAGTCTGTGACTTAACCCCTTGCGCCACCAGGGAGGCCTCCCCAATGGGGTTTTTTAGCTTGCGTCTCTTTAAGAGAGGCTGTATCTAATGATTAGATAAGTTCAAAAGTAAACATTTGTGCTCAGCCCACATCAGGGGATGTTGTATACTTGATGTGGCTTCCCATTGGGAGACACAGGCTATGGGGGACCCCATAGAGTGGTGCTGGGGCAGACCCTGGAGTGGTGGGGTGATGGTCTGGCTCTCCCTTGTGGTCAGGAGTATGTTCCAATTGTACTGGACAAAGTTCCATTGCAGGGAGGGGAAGGGCTCTGTTTTAGGAGAGATGGCATTTGGGTAGATGTGAAAGAGGCAGCAAGGAGCACACTGCGGGAGAAGCTTATTCAGGGCAGAGAGTAGTGACCCAGAGGTGGGCAGGAACTCAGCATGTTCAGGAAACAGAAAGGCAGGTGTGGGTGTGATGGTAGGTCATGTCATAGGTGGTAGTCAGACTATGTGGACCTCATGGCCTTAGTCAGGATTTGGAGTTGAAGGGAAGCCTTTGGAGGGGTTTGATAGGAGAATGAGATGGTTTAAGGAGATCCCTTTGTCAGGTGCCACAGAACAGCATCGGGAGCCAGGGGCAATGAGGAGACTTGAAGTCGTGAAGGCTGTGGGGCACGAAGTAGGGGTGTGAGGAAGTGGTTAGATTTGGGATATGTTTTGGGAGCTGGGCCAGTAAAACTTACTGATGGGTTATAAGTGGTGGGTGAGGGAAAGAGAGGAATCACAGACCCTCAAAGGGCTGTAGACCCTGAAAATCTGGCATCAGTGTTTCCAGGAACTGAGATAAGAGCTCTGGAGGAGACATTCAAAATTCAGTGCTTGGATTCTGTGTCTAAGGGGCCCCTGTGTCCTAGCAGAATCCAGAAAATGGGATTAGTTAACCATCCGTGACTGCTGGGTGAGAGCAAACTCTGTCAAGGTTGAGTTTTAGATGTTGGTTTTGGCGCTCTCTGATCATGCCCTGATTTCTGACTGTTCTCTTGCATACTGCACACAGTTGGCTCAAGGTCTGAGTGAGATTGTGGCTGGATCAGCCCAAATGCGTCTCCACCTGTAGCTGGGTAGCTCAGCAGACTGCTAACAATCAGAACTGTGTTGCTGTGAAGTAAAAATTGTATATTAGCTGGAAAGCATTTGTTGAGTATTTCCTGGACCTAAAGCTGCACTAATGTACTAGATGAAATAAAAGAAAAGGCTTAAATATCTTCTTACAATCTAATTAAGAGAGACTGGGTGCACATATCCGAAAAAGGAACGAAAGAGCCTTGCGTCATGATACTATCACAAGAATTAAGCGAACTCAGTGTGAGAGAAAAGAGCAGGGCTTACCTGGGAATTTGACAGGCCCGCCCTTCGGGTGAGCACGGGATAAGCTGGAAGTGGTATGAGTGGCTTAGAATGTAGAAGGCAGGAGGAACGGTGGTGAGCTGTCTGAACCATGCCTCTCTCCCTCTCCCTTGTCTGGTTTCCAGCTGAATGATGGACAGTTCACAGTCATCCAGTTGGTGGGCATGCTACGGGGCATCGCCTCAGGCATGCGGTACCTTGCTGAGATGAGCTACGTCCACCGAGACCTGGCTGCCCGCAACATCTTAGTCAACAGCAACCTTGTCTGCAAAGTTTCTGACTTTGGCCTTTCCCGATTCCTGGAGGAGAACTCTTCTGATCCCACCTATACTAGTTCTCTGGTGAGGCTTGTCCAGGAACACAGTATAGGAGCAGACCACAGAGGGGGGTGGTCAGCTTTGGGAACCTGACTTTTGGGTATCTAGAAAGAGAACAGTGTTGGGGAGCTGGGTGCATGGGTCCAATAAAGAGAGGTGGACTGGGGGAAAGGCAAAGGTGAGCGCAGTGCCCGGGTCCGGTGAGTCCCTCAACTCACCTTTTCTTCCCCCATCTATAGGGAGGAAAGATTCCCATCCGATGGACAGCCCCTGAGGCTATCGCTTTCCGGAAATTCACGTCTGCCAGTGATGCCTGGAGTTATGGGATAGTGATGTGGGAGGTCATGTCATTCGGGGAACGGCCATACTGGGATATGAGCAATCAGGATGTAAGTGTTCCGTGGGCCTGCCAAGCTGGAATGTTCTTCATCTGTGATATTGAGAGGGGGGCGTGGTGTTCTAGAGAGCGCACTACTGCTAGATCCTTGGGATGGTAAGGGTGGCACAAAGGAGACCTGATCTCTGTATCCAAGATTCTGATACAGCGTGTCTATCACAAAAGGACGGAGAGATGGAGGACAGGTTTGGGAGGTTACACGTCTAAATCATAGTCTTTGGGCTGCCGGGTTGTCGAGTCACAGCCAGCCTTGGCCCTGATCAGGAGGACCTTAGATCTGCCAGCAGGAATGGGCTATGTGACCGTCCCAGTATTTCAGCCTCCTTGAGGGGTCCTTGGCACCCTCATTCTCCTTGGACATCCTCACTTCATACTCCTCCCTGTCCCTGCAGGTGATCAATGCCATTGAACAAGACTACCGGCTGCCCCCACCCCCAGACTGCCCAACCTCCCTGCACCAGCTCATGCTGGACTGTTGGCAGAAGGACCGGAACGCACGGCCTCGCTTCCCCCAGGTGGTCAGCGCCCTCGACAAGATGATCCGGAACCCTGCTAGCCTCAAAATTGTGGCCAGGGAGAATGGCGGGTGAGGACCCCAGAGAGATCATACTTTGCGACAGCTTCCTTTACCCCATCCTTAGAACTGTTGGTCCCCCGGCTGGCATGTGGGTGGTGCCTGCACACCTCTCTAAGGCTAGGCTCAACTTCTTCCCCAACGGACACAGCCTTGGTACTCAGGGAATCCTCCCCATCCTTGCCTCCCAGGGCCTCACACCCACTGCTGGATCAGCGGCAGCCTCACTACTCAGCTTTTGGTTCTGTGGGTGAGTGGCTTCGTGCTATCAAGATGGGAAGATATGAAGAAAGTTTTGCAGCTGCTGGGTTTGGCTCTTTTGAGCTTGTCAGCCAGATCTCCGCAGAGTAAGTGGCAGGAGCTGGAGGTGGGAGTGAGACCGAACAGCTAGAGGGGCGCCTTGGGGGCAGGCCCACAGATTCAGATGGGGGGCTTTGGGGTCAACTCCAGGTGCCAACTCTGTTTTTTCAGTGGAGTAACACTAAGTAATTGACTCCACACCAGGCCTGGAAGAGCCCCCAAAGCAGAAACTACTGCTGAGGCTTAGAGCCCAGGGGATGCATCTTCCAGCTGTGCCCCCTTCTTGGGCCACCGCAGCCTCAGCCATGTTGCTCCCTGCCTGAAATCTCTATCTTTGTGCATCTATCTACATTCCAAACCCTGCTCTCTCTCACATTAACAATGTGTCAACTCTGGATGTTTTCCCATCCATAAAAGGAGAAGGTTGGACTGGGTTTTGGAGATCCATTCCAGCTTTAATGCTAAATGGTTTTATGATTCCAGCGCCTCCAAATTCTGTTTTTCCCTAGTTGGCCTGTCTCTGGTCTCCTCTCTGCCCATTTCTCTTTCAAGGTCTCTTCTGGCCCCAGGTCTGAATAACAGAACTAGAGTAGGAATCTGGAAGCAGAGGGTCCTGGCAGCCCTGTCCCTGGCAGGGCAGGTTGCAGGCCCGTCTGCCCAGCAGGCTTGGGTGCTCTCCTCCCCAACTAGCCCCAGATGGGCCTTGACACAGGTTTTTGCTCCCCATTACCAGTTCTTCTTTTTTCCTTTATCACAGTTTTCAGGCATTGGTGGATGGGAACGGTGGGGGCAGTTTTAATCTTTCTTCACTCCGCTCTTCTCTCTCTGGCCTTTTTCTTCTGACTTCTTTGTCCTCTAAAGCAATCTGCGTAGCCTTTTTCCCCAACCTCAGTTTCTGGGCTTTTTTCCTTTTAGGTTCCTCTCCTCCGATTATCCTCTGCCTTTCCTTAATCCTTGCTCCAGCATCTAGGCTGCAGCCCCTACCTCCCACCTCTGCCTGGTTCCTTTCCTTCCTGCCCGTGACACCTAGTCTCCTCCCCCCCCCACTGCGACCACCTCATGGGCTTGGCTCCTAAATCCTTTGCCCAGCAACTATTCACCTTTGCCCCCTTGCCTGCTGGCCTTCCTGGTAGAGTGATACCCTGAGGCTGGACAGGTTTCTGGAGCTAAGCTAGGAGAAGCCCCTGCTGGAGCCCTCTGGCCTCACCTAGCTCACAATTCTTCCCCAGGGACCTGCTCCGAATTGGAGTCACTCTGGCAGGACACCAGAAGAAAATCCTGGCCAGTGTCCAGCACATGAAGTCACAGGCCAAGCCTGGAGGCCAAGGCGGGTCTGGAGGACCAGCCCCCCAGTACTGACCTGCAACTCCGGACCTGGCCCCCCAGCTCTGGAGCGACGAGAACTCCCATGCCGGGGATACAGCTCCCTGGCTTCCTGGGGCAGTCGGGTAGGGAACCAAGGGCCCCTACCCCTGTGCCCCACTGGATTGCACTTTGAATCTGTGGGGATGGGGAGTTGGCAATTTGGAGAGAGGATTTAGGGATTCTGCCATAGGGGTATGTAGAAGTGACGTGTATCCCCAGGCAGAAAACCCCACACCCAGGATGGGGTTTGTTGAGAGAAAAGGACACGCCCATAGTCTGCCAACTTCCTCTTAAGAGGGTTGGGCGTGGCCCCCACAGCCTCTCTCTGATCTCCAATTAGGGCCGGCCCCAGGTGTCTCCCTCACCCTGAGGGGCCATGGGGCCCTGCAGATCCTACAGACCAAAGAGAGGAGGGTGACTAGCCTGCGAGCTCGGGAATGGAGCGCAGCCAAGGGAGGCAGGAAGGGGTGTCGAGACCCAGTGACAAAGTCATTGGACTTGGGTGTCCCAACCTGCTGCTGTCTCCACCGAACTCACTTCCCTTGTAAATGCCCTTCCCCCTTCTGCTGCCTTCATATTGAAGGCTTTTGAGTTTTATTTTTTGGTTTTGGTTTTATTGTTCCTTCCCTTTTTTTCATTTTTGTTTGTTTTGTTTTTTTTAACTTCCTTGTCCTAACTTTTTGTGTGGAAGGGACCTGTTTCATTGTTGCCTCCTTTGCCCACGTTGAAACAGGGACCCATCGTGGTGCCCGTTTCCTGAACAGTGCCTTGGTCACGCCACGACCCCCAGATACTTCCCTTCCTCCCAGGTTCCCCCACCCTGTGTCCATGAGGGAATATGAGGGGCAAGGTGGTGGTGGAAGTCAGAGACAGACACCGGTGCTTGGAGGGGCTCTTAAATTATATTTAAAACTTTTGTTTTTATATAAATAAAAAAAAATGGGAAGTATCTCAGTCTGGGGTGATTGGGAATGGGGGGTGGAACAGGCTCCTGAGAATGGGTCTAGGCATGGGGGACCTTTCAGCGAGCCCAACTAAGGGTCAGAGGTCTGACACAGGGCTGTGTGTGCGGGGTGCTTGGTTCCCAGCCCCAGGGTGTGTTTGAGGTGGTGGGGTGGGGGCAGTGGAGATGAGTCATTGGCAGCTGCTTCTAACAGCTCTAGTTGGCTATGCCAAGAGCCTGAGGCACCTCCGGGGAGGGCTGCCCCCCTCCCTGCCCTGGTTCCCTAACCCTGGAGAGGGGCTGTGTGGGGCAGGGGAGGCCTTGAGCTCACAACCCTGCCCTGCAGCCCCCTGAGAGAGTGTGGGGGGCATCAGCTGGGCTGGGGGGGTCCAGTCCAGAAGAAGGCAGATGTTGACCAGATGTTGACAGATGGGGTTGGTTTAGAGGCAAAAGGGGAGTCTGCCTTGGCTGTGGGGGAGGGGCAGAGAGCTGGGGTGGAGGACAGGCCCCCCACGTGTGCAGACAGACACATTCACACACAAAGAGCTGCTGGCCTGGGTTGGGAGTACAATTCCCTCTTTCAAGATGCTGCCCAGGCAGGTTCTCTCAGCCTCTTGGAAAGAGTGGGGGGAAACCACCTGTGCCTTCCCCCCATCCAGATGTCTCCCAAACAGGAAGAGGATGGGGTCAGTCTCCTGCTCATACTGCCCGGCTGTCTTTTTGTCATCTCAGTTCTCTGTGTTCTACGCCCCCACCCCCAACCCCAACCCTCTTCTGGGACACCCACAGGGACAGGGCTGGCCTGCGCCAGCTTTGTTTCTGCAGCTTGGTTGCCCCCTGTTGTCGAATTGGGGCCAGTGCAGGATTCCCTACCAAGGCTTTTGCCTCTTGTGCACCTCAGAACCATAATAGTGCCCCTGTCCCCAACTGCCTTTACTGCCCTCTTCTGGAGTCCCTAATATTTTGGAATTTTCTCTCTGTTTCCTCAATGACACATTGCCCATGCTTTGTACACCCAAGAGGTATTGGGAGCAACTTGGTCCCACTGAGGATGGAGGGGATCTGTCAGGAGAGTGCTGGTGTGGACCACCCTTTCCACTGCCAACCTGACATCTGGGGTAGATAAGGTGGCCTTAGCTGGAGAGGAGGGGCACAGTTCAAAAGAGCAGAGCACAGATGGAAACAGGCAAAGGGTCAAACTCTGGGTGAAGGGCATCCTGACACCTCCCCACCCCCATACAGTTGGCAGTCTCCTTTCAGTCAATACCTAGCAGGATGTCCCAGCCCCACTCCCCAACCTCCATCCCAAGCAAGGACCAGCCTGGTGGGAGGCATATCCTACTGGGGGTGGGTCTGCATGTTTGCCCTTTGGCCTCAGGCTGAGGTTCTCAGGTCGGTTCCAGGATGGAATGCAAAACTACTGTGCCAGCTATCCCCCAGGCTCCACCCCCCACTACCTTGGTAGATTTAGGCTCCCTTGGAAAATGGGTGGTAGCAGAAGACTGGGGGGGGACACTTCCTAGAGGGTCACAGGCCAGTTAACCCTTGGGAAAGAGCCACATTCTTCATCCTTGGCTTCTACCCAGCAATTCCTCTCATCAGAAATTTAAAACTCCTCGATCACCTTTCACTACCCACTTGGGGAACTCAAGGGGTGGGAACCTCAGGGAAGAATGCAGCAGCTAAGAACTGAGGTTTCTGGAGTAGAGACTTGTCTCCTGTATTCAAAGCTAAATGCCCACCCCACCCAGCTTTTTCTTAGGGCTAGATCTCCACGTCAGTTTCCTACCTCTTTGAACATTTTGCAGGGTACCCAGCCTAGCCTTCCTATCGATCCCCATTTCTCTCCCTATTTCTCTCCCCAAGATCTACCTCACAGACCTTCCCCCCTACCATAATCTTGGAAAGTCACATGTCAAAAATAAATTATTTTATCTTTTTTTTTTTTGGAGGACAAATTAAAACTGGGTAAAGGCACTCTCTGGCACAAAATCTGGAGAGAAAGCAGAAAAATCTGTGTTAGAGGCTGACTGACCTCCACCTACCTCCACATCACCTAGGCTCAGCTGCCAGGGTGAGCTCTCACCTGAGTCTACCAGCCCGTTTCTATCCTTGCTTTGCATTTTCTCCCTAGGGACCCTGGGGAACACACAAGAGTCGGCATCCACTCCCCATGTTTACTCACCCACACCCATCCCTCCTCATCCTCTTTCCCAAAACCTACCTCCTCATCCTCTTCTTGCATTCTCCAATCACTGCCAACACCATGACTGCTGCTGGCACCACCATTCCCAGCAGGATGGTTACCAAGTTGGATCCTTCTGGGGTGTGGGGAATAGAAATAGGAAGAGGAGGAGGTTGGGAGTGGGGGAGACACCCTCTTTCAGTCCTGGTCTCCACCAGAAGGGACTAAGTTGCTGTGTGTGGCTAGTCTACCCACCCCCAGGGGTTTCAAGGCCTTAGCGCTACCCCCCACCCCTACCAGGAACCCTTTTTCTGTTAGTGTGCTCACAATTCTCATAAGCTTTATAGGGGGATGTTCATCTAGCTGGTCCCCTAGAGACTAGCCAGTGTTTCTTGAAGAAGAGTCCTAGAGTAACTCATGTGAGTGACCCACTGAGTATGAACCTAGATCTCTGGGGGTAAGTCCCACAATGGAATTTTAAATGGGCAATCCCCACCTCACCTGCCCTGCCTCCCAAATCAGGCAAAAGATAAATTTGGGGACTCACTGGCCCAGAGACTGGAGGGAGTTAGAGTTTTCAGAGACACTTGGAGAGATACAGGATGGGGGATCTAACATCAGGGCCGGGCATCTGGATCACAGAAGGGAGCTGGGGTTCAGAGAGCAGATGCCAGAGCATGGGGGTAGAAAGGGCATATGGGCTTTGAGATCCATATGGGCTCTCTGCTCCTGGGAATTTCCAGGAATCGTGACATTATGTTGTACGACATATATTAGAACATTATTATAAATTATCTACCTGTTGCATATTTTGCTGGGGGTGGCACATCCTGAGGCTCCATGCAGAGGTTTCCCCCATAACCAAGTTCACACTCACAGATAAAGTGGTCTCCCTGCTCCCGACACCGTCCATCATTCTGACACGGGTTCTCTAGACATGGACTTTCTGTAATGATGGAGGAGAAGGTTGGGAGGGGGTTCTGGGAAGAACCCCAAAATAAGGGAAAGGGGGGGCTGGGACCTCAGGGAAGAATGCAGCAGCTAAATGAGTCTGACCAGGGATCCCATCCTGGCCTCCAGTCCTGGTTCTGCATTCACTGCCCCTAGGCTCTGAGGAAATTGCTTACCCTCTCTGGTCTTCCTGGGTTTTAGCTATAAAATGGGAATGATTACCACCAAGTGCTGAGTTAAGGGCTAAAGAAGATCTTGGGAAGCGAATGGAGGGAAAAGACCCAGCAAGGTAGTTGGTGGACAGCAGGTGCCCTCTGCCGTCGCCCCTGCCGCAATGGGAGAAGGCATGGGATGAAAGGCACTGCCCTCCTGACACTGATGGGGAGGATCCCAGGCACAGGACCAGGAGGGATTATCTAATCCAGGACCCCTTGGAGTAGAGGCACGGCTGGAAGCCAAGAGGTGGTTCAGGCTCACCTCGGAAGCAGCCACGGGTGAGGTTCCCTAGGGTACAGATCTCCCCCACATTGCAGCTGAGGGGCTCGCACAGCAGGACCTCCAAGCTGGCACAGGTGCAGCGCTGAGAGCAATCCTCAGTCACAAAGCTGTCACCTTGCTGGAAAAGGGAGAGGGAGCTGGGAGGAAGAGCTCTCTTGATGGGTTCCGGCCTGGCTCTCGCACCTCCACTCCCCCAGGGCATCCCGCTCCCAGCCCAGACCTGGTAGTAAATGCCATTGTTGGTGCAGCCACAGCGAGCCGGGGGGAGGCTCTCAACACCGCTGTAGATGTAGCCAGGGAGACTGGCACAACCTTCCACACAGGGGCCCTGGCAGTCCCTGGGGGCCACCAGGCTGGCACAGGAGGCCGGGCAGGGTGTCATACAGCTCTGATAGACAGTGTTGGCTGGACATGCCAAGGCTGAGGGGACAGAGTCTTAGTCAGAGAGTGGCCGGGCTGGGGTTGCCAAACAGGTATGGGGACTGTGGGGCTGGAAGCTGGAAGGGTGTCAGGAAGGAAGCCAGAAGAGCAGGCTGGCTTTGGGCCATTAAGGCATGTGAAGGGAGCTGGAGGACCAAAGGTGGGCTTTGGGAAGAAGGAGCAGGTGGATGAGGCTTCCCAGGGAGGGACAGAGAAGGGGTAAGATCGCAAGAAGTTAACATGAGAAGTTAACATGAGAGAGTTGAGGGATGGAGAAACTAAAACAGGTGTAGCCCATGGTAGGGCCTGGAGCTGAGCAAGGTGCTGAAATGGTGGTAGGGGTCAGGGCCAGTTGCTGGGGAATGTCAGTGCCTCACCGCAATGGGAATAGTCCCGCCAGCTGGCCAGGGTGATGCCAGCCTCCTGGCAGATGACGGCATACCCACTGAGAACCTGGCAGCGCAGCTCCTCCTGTTCTTTGGGGTCCCAGGTGGAACACAGATCAAATACACAGTGCCTGGTGGGGTGGGGTGGGGGCATTAGGGACAGTCAGACACAGCCAGCCAGTTGGGGGACTGTCAGAGAGGAAGAGGCATGGAAGCCCCAGCAGAGAAGCAGTGTGTGTGTATGTGTGTGTGTGTGTGTGTGTGTGTGTGTGTGTGTGTGTGTGAGAGAGAGAGAGAGAGAGAGAGAGAGTGGGCCCGCTGGGGGCCATTCGGGGTGGGGAGATAGCAAGGAACCAAAGCCACAGAAAGAAGTGAGCCAGAGAACAGAGACATCAGAGAACAGGCAGTGGGACCTCAAGATGGTCATGGTCCTGGGCCCCTGACTCACTCTTGGAAGCGCTCGGGGGCCACCTTCTGGTGACAGGGAGCAAAGGGGCCATGGGGATCCACCAGCACTGTACACCCCTGGGTGCGGTTGATGAGTGCCAGCTGCTCCATGCTGCATCCCGGCACATGGGAGTCTGGCTCCTTTCCCTTCTCCTGCTCGTCCTTCTCTTCCCTTATGGCCCTGGGGCAGAGACAATTGAGGGGCCAGCTGAGGCCCTGAGGACTGTGAACTTGGGGAGGGAGCAGAAAGGAAGGGCATGGGCACAGATTGGAGTCCATAGGGCAGGTGCCCCACAGTCAATATGAGAAGACAGGGAGTCTGGAAGCACAGGGCAGGGCTATTTGGGCCCCCACCCTCCATTTCTTCTTCTGCAGAGGCTCTGGGGGTAAGTGGGTGTGGACAGATATTGGGTGATTGCTCATCTTCTGGGCCTGAGCCTCCTGCTAAGAGCCCCAGTTCTCTCACCTGGAGAAGCGGGCAAGTTCTTTCTGGTTCTTTACTTCCCAACTGTTGCCAAAGATGTTGATATTCTGGGTGAGGGCGCCATTGGGCATTATAAACTCATTTGTCATATTCTTGTCAAAGTTCCCACACAGGCCGCGCACAAGCCCCTCGTACGTGCCAGGCAAGGAGATGACTGCAAGAGGCAGGAGCATCTAGAAGTGAGACTTCTTTTCCCCACCCACTTTTGGGTGCCTCACCACACTTGATCTATCTAAGGTGTGCTTTCCCTCTCATTGCAAAGCACCCTTCTGCTCCTCCCCGCCTTTCAGCTACCTGCATTGTTTATCCCATCGAAGCTGACGACCAGCTCAAAGTCAGTGGTCAGATGCAGGCGGTGACCCCGCATGGTGACCCCAAAATGCTTGCTGGGTATGTAGGGGATGACCATCCTCTGCTTGTTGACCTGGAGAGGGACAACAGAAGCTGCAGGAGCAGTGGAACGACCTCACCTGCTGCTTTGCATTTGCTTTTTCGCACATCTGGGCACCTCTGCCTGGCATCATTCCATCATTCTGTGGAACAAGATGCCACAGTAGGTTTCACTCTCTCTCCTGGCAAAGGCAGCCCTCCTCCTTCCCTTTGCAGCCCCCATCCCCTTTCTGGCAAAAAGTAAGTAAATAAAAAAAATCAGGAGAGGGGATGTCCGGGCACTTCTCCAGCCCAGGCTGGTTCCTGCTCACAATGCAGGTTTCCTTGCTCCTCTCCCTCCCGACCTGTCTCTTTCTAGCCTTTTGTTTACTGCTGCTGCCCTGCTCTTGTCCACTGTGAGGTCAGTGTGACACTGACTCTAAAACCAGGCAGTCCCTGCCAGGAACTTCTGAGGGAACACCTTCCCAGGGAAGCACCCTGGCCTCACCTGTTGCGGGTGAGGGTCCCCTGGCCCTACCTCTTCCCCCAGACCACCCAGGCCTGCTTGCTCTCACCACAAGCTGCAGTTTGGCTTGCAGCTGGACTGTGTAGCCGTAGATTTTCACGATTACTTCGTGCAATATCGGGCTCCAAGACAAGTTCATCTTGTTGCGCCCCTCCACAACCAGGGGCTCAAGCCCCTCTGGCAGCACATCCACGGTCTTTACCAGGGTGTAGGTCATGCGGCCCTGGAAGCGGTAGCTGAAGCCATCAAATGTGAAGTAATGGGGGTCCCCAAAAACAGAGCATTGTGCTGACTCTGCAGAGAAGAAGGACCAAGTAAAAGAAAGAACCCTTACAGACCCTTACAGATATCAGAGGCTCTCGAACTACCTCAGCCATCCTCCCCAGCTCCCCTTTGCCTGTGATCACTCTCCTCAGCACTGGGCTCCCTGGGCACACGATCTTCAACATTTCCCCTTCCAGGCCCTACTGAAGAGCTTAGAGGAGCTCCTAGATCAGTCCCCTTGTTTTGCCCTTAGGGAAGTGAGTCCCAGGACAGTCGTGACTTGCAGTTGGACACAGCAAGCAGAAGACAGAAGCAAACCAAAGTGACCCATGGCAGATGCCCACCCCATACCTGCAGTGAGCTCTTCTGGCCCTGCTTCCTGCTTCACCATTCTGAGCACACGCTTAATAGAGGGGACACAGTTGCCTTTGCCATCAGAGTTGATCCGGCAGTGGAAGCCCAAGGGGCACTCGAAGACATGGCATCGAATGATTGCTGACATACAGATACAGCGCAGGGTACAGTTGCCCGAGAGCCAGATCTTCCCTTCCTGTAAAAGCCGCAGGAAGGAGAGAGGGTGAGGGAGCAGGGCCCATTGTCCTTTCACCCCTTGGGTCTGCGTCTGCTTTCGGACTGGCTTCCGTGGCACTGACCAGAGGCAATAGGAGACATTTGCCACCTTATGTGCACTGCTGCCACCTATAGGCATTGGCCTCTCATTTATGTTCCTCAGGAGGTCCTACTGGATCCTCTCACATGAGAAACAAGGTAAACAAAGACACCTGCCCTGTGAGCTGTATAATCATAATGAGAATCAGAGCCACGCTCTCCCCTGCAGCATGCACCAACCCAGCGATGTACCCCAGCATCATCCTGGCGGAGCCCATACTGCCATGTCCCAGACCCTAGCTATCTTAGGGGCCTCAGGCTGGCAAACAGCAAGCTGCCCTGACCACACCCTAATTCGGCCCACACTCACAGGGATGGGGCCGTGGGAGTCCTTGCAGCCACACTGGTTCTTGCTCACACATTGTCCCTCGTGGAGCAGAAGGCCAGACTGGCAAAGGCAGCCTTCTCGGCAGGTGGAGGGAACTTTCATGTCCCTGCACAGCGCATCTGGGTCCTCGCAGGTGGATAAGCATGATGGCAAGCAGGCTGTATAGTTGCTGTAGGCAGGGCACTGCAGAGCTGGGAGTGGGGTGAAGAGGGAGGTAGAATGGTTAAGCAGGGGCACAGGTGGGTCAGGTGGCCAGAAAACAAGAGCTGAATGAGAAACAAACTTCAGAGCAGGTACCCATATTAAACCTGCATTCGGGTCTTGGATCCCTAGCCGTTTTCCACACCCAAGCACCCTCTTACTTTTTGGTGCACAGTTTTCCAGGGCACTGGAGTTGATCTGGCACTGAGTACCAGTGGGGCAGGTGAAAGGCTGGCACTGAATGGCTCCGATGGCACAGATACACCTCCTAGAGCAGTGGCTGGTGAGCCAGAACTTCCCTTCCTGTAGAGCCATGGAAAGATGGGGAGTGAGGGAGCGGAAGGGCCAGTCTCCTTACTCCCACTCTTGGCCTGAGCCTGCATCTGACTGGCTTCACTGGCACTGCCAAGGCAGTAGGTGCCAGCTGCCTCCTTATGTCCTCTGCCCTGACTATAGAAATTGTGTCTCACATGTGTTGTCAGCTTGTACTACTGAATCCATCTCGCAGGGATAACTGAGGTAAATCGGGACCCCTGACTGCAGAGTGGTATCCCCACATTCCAACCAAAGCCAGGCTCTCCCCTATAGCACGGCACATCCCAATTTAAATTCCTCAATGGAAAACCCAAACCTGCTCCCTCAGCCAGACCTGGCATGAGACACACTTGGGTGTCCCCAGCAGGCCCTTGCCAGGGCCAGCCCTAGAGACACAGATGCCCCAGGTTGATAGAGACACAGGAAAGGGCCTGAAGCCTCAAGGTGTGATGTTACCGCAGTGCTTCCGGCCTCCACTCACAGGTATGTAGCCGAGCTGGGCATCCTTGCAGCCACACTGGCTCCTGGGCACACACTGCTTTTCATTGAGCAGGAATCCAGGCTGACAGACACAGCCCTCCCGGCAGCTGGAGGGGACTTGAACGCTGTCACACTTGTTATCTGGGTCCCCACATGAAAGTAGGCAGGAGGGCATACAGGATGTGTATTTGCTGTTGGCAGGGCACTGCAGAGCTGGGAGGAGGAGGAGAGGGGTAAGTAGAGCGGCTCACAGGGGCCTATAGGGGTCAGGAGGCCACAAGCAGGCAGAGAGGATGAGAGGCAAGTTGTGCCAAGGCGTGGCCCTCCTCATGCCTGTGCTCAGACCTTCCTGCCCTGCCTCCTGTCTACCTTTCTGAGCACAAACTTACCAACTGGTTCACACTTGTCCGGCCCAGTGGCATTGACCTGGCACTGAGTGCCAGTGGGGCATACGAAATTCTGGCAGTAAATGACTCCAGCTGCACAAAAACACCTCTTCGTGCAGTTGCTGGTGAGCCAGTTCTTCCCTTCCTGTAGGGCCACAGGAAGACGGGGAGTGAGGGAACCCGAGAGACAGTCTCCTTACTCCCACTCTTGGCCTGAGCCTGCATCTGGCTTCACTGGCACTGCCAAGGCAGTAGGTGCCAGCTGCCTCTTTATGTCCTCTGTCGCTGACTAGAGATACTGTGTCTCACATGTGTTGTCAGCTTGTACTACTGAATCCATCTCACAGGGATAGCTGAGGTAAATTGGGACCCCTGACTGCGGAGTGGTATCCCCACATTCCAACCAAAGCCAGGCTCTCCCCTATAGCATGGCACATCCCAATTTAAATTCCTCAATGGAAAACCCAAACCTGGTTCTCCCTGGTGGCGCAAGGGGTTAAGACACAACCTAGGAAGCTATCTGCAGCCTCTGCTGCACGGGTTTGATCCCTGGCCAGGGAAAAACCCAAATGTCACAAGAGACCTCTCCTGACTCGCCTGCTGCTCCCCTTAGCAATGTATTTCAGTCAGTCTTTCTGTTCTGCTTCCCACTCTGTCTCTGGTGAATCCTCTCACCCCTCACACCTATGGCCTGTATACCTCAGATCTTGTATGCATAAATAAATAAATCTTTAAAAAAAAAAAAAAAAGAAAACCCAAACCTGGTCCCTCAGCCAGACCTGGCATGAGACACACTTGGGCATCCCCAGCAGGCCCATGCCAGGTCCAGCCCTAGAGACACAGGTGCCTCTATCAATCTCACAGGAAATGGTGCCCCAGCCTCCAGGAGTGCTGTCCCCACTCACAGGCATGTAGCCGACCAAGGTCTCTGTGCAGCCACACTGGCTCCTGGGCACACACTGCTTCTCACTGAGCAGGAATCCAGGCCGACAGATGCAGCCCTCCTGGCAGCTGGAGGGGGCTGGGCTGCCTGTGCACTTGTTATCTGGGTCCTTACAGGAAAGCAAGCAGGAGGGCATGCAGGCTGTGTAGCTGCTGTTGGCAGGGCACTGCAGAGCTGGGAGGAGGAGGAGAGGGATAAGTAGAGGGAGTCACAGGAGGCCACAAGCAGGCAGAGTGGATGAGATTCAAGTTGTGCCATGGAGCGGCCCTCTCCATTCCTGCGCTCAGCACTTCCTGCCCTGCTTCCTGTCCACCTTCCCCAGCCCCTCTTACGGATGGGTTCACAGGTTTCCAGGTCAGTGGGTTTGGTCTTGCAGTAGGATCCAGAGGGGCAGGTGAAGGGCCGGCACTGAATGGCTCCTGCTGTGCAGACACAGCTCTGGGTGCAGCGGCTGCTGAGCCATGTCTTCCCTGCCTGTACAAGCCACAGAAGGAAAAGATATTAGGGTAATGGGTGCGGGTGTTCAGGCATATGTTTCATCCTGCTTACTCTCAACTTTGGCTCCCCATAACTGGCCAGAACATTAGGTTCCCTCTCCCTCCTTATATCCTGTGCCGCTGCCCGTTGGTTTGGTGTCTCACAATGTGGTCAGAACATACTACTGATTCTATCCTGGAAATATGTTAGCCAGAGACCCCTGACCCAGGTGTGGTATATTCAGGATTCAACCTACACAGGCCTACACTGTAGCTGCCACCCCCCAGCTGTTTGAATTCCTCAGATGAAATCCAAACCATGTGCCCTGTGCCAGACTTGGCTGGCACAACCTGCACCATCCCCAGCCCACCCAGGGACAGCTGTAGAGTCACAGGTGCCCCAGGAAGGGTGTCCCAGCCTCAAGGAGTGCTGTCTCCAACCAACTTCAGGTGCCACTCACAGTGATGAAACCAAACCGGGCATCCTTGCAGCCACACTGGCTCCTGGGCACACACTGCTTCTCACTGAGCAGGAATCCAGGCCAACAGACGCAGCCCTCCTGGCAGCTGGAGGGAACCTGAACGCTGTCACACTTGTTATCTGGATCCCCGCACATAAGAAAGCAGGAGGGCACGCAGGTTGTGTAGCTGCTGTTGGCAGGGCACTGCAGAGCTGGGAGGAGGAGGAAAAGGGTAAGTAGAGGGAGTCACAAGGGGCTGGTGGTAAGGAGGCCACAAGCAGGCAGAGTGGATGAGAGGTAAGTTGTGCCATGGCACAGCCCTCCCCATGCCTGCGCTCAGCCCTTCCTGCCCTGCTTCCTGTCCACCTTCCCCAGCCCCTCTTACGGATGGGTTCACAGGTTTCCAGGTCAGTGGGTTTGGTCTTGCAGTAGGATCCAGCGGGGCAGGTGAAGGGCCGGCACTGAATGGCACCTGCTGTGCAGACACAGCTCTGAGTGCAGCGGCTGCTGAGCCATGTCTTCCCTGCCTGTACAAGCCACAGAAGGAAGAGAAACGAGCATGGCGTGGGCTGGGGTTCAGGCATGTGTTTCATCCTGCTTACTCTCACCTTTGTTGTTAGGCCTGCTGTCTGACTGGCTTCCCGGCACTGGCCAGAGCAGTGGGTGCCCTCTCCCTATTATGTTGTGTCGCTGCTTGATGGCTGGTGTCTCACAATGTGGTCAGGACATCCTACTGATTTTCTCCTGGAAATTTGTTAGCCAGAGACCCCTGACCAAGATGTGGTATATTCTGGATTCAACCTACACAGGTCTACACTGTAGCTGCCACCGCCCCCCACCCCCCAGTTGTTTGAATTCCTTGGATGAAATCAAACCATGTGCCCTGCACATGGCTGGCACAACCTGCACTGTCCCCAGCCCACCCAGGGAGAGCTGTAGAGACACAGGCGCCCCAGGCTGATAGGGACACAGGAAGGGTGCCCCAGCCTCAAGGAGTGCTGTCTCCAACCAACTTCGGGTGCCACTCACAGTGATGGAGCCGAGCTGGGTGTCCTTGCAGCCACACTGGCTCCTGGGCACACACTGCTTCTCACTGAGCAGGAATCCAGGCCAACAGACGCAGCCCTCCCGGCAGCTGGAGGGGGCTGGGCTGCCTGTGCACTTGTTATCAGGGTCCCCGCACATAAGAAAGCAGGAGGGCATGCAGGCCGTGTAGTTGCTGTTGGCAGGGCACTGCAGAGCTGGGAGGAGGCGGAAAAGGGTAAGTAGAGGGAGTCACAGGGGGTTAGTGGTAAGGAGGCCACAAGCAGGCAGGGTGGATGAGATTCAAGTTGTGCCACGGAGGCGGCCCTCCCCATTCCTGCGCTCAGCTCTTCCTGCCCTGCCTCCCGTCCACCTTCCCCAGCCCCTCTTACGGATGGGTTCACAGGTTTCCAGGCCAGTGGGTTTGGTCTTGCAGTAGGATCCAGCGGGGCAGGTGAAGGTCTGGCATTGAATGCCTCTTGCTGTGCAGACACAGCTCTGAGTGCAGCGGCTGCTGAGCCATGTCTTCCCTGCCTGTACAATCCACAGAAGGAAGAGAAACGAGCATGGCGTGGGCTGGGGTTCAGCCATGTGTTTCATCCTGCTTACTCTCACCTTTGTTGTTAGGCCTGCTGTCTGACTGGCTTCCCAGCACTGGCCAGAGCAGTGGGTGCCCTCTCCCTATTATGTTGTGTTGCTGCTTGACGGCTGGTGTCTCACAATGTGTCAGGACATCCTAATGATTCTCTCCTGGAAATTTGTTAGCCAGAGACCCCTGACCAAGGTGTGGTATATTCTGGATTCAACCTACCCAGGTCTCCACTGTAGCTGCCCCCCAGTTGTTTGAATTCCTCAGATAAAATTCAAACCATGTGCACTGTGCCAGACTTGGCTGGCACAACCTGCACCGTCCCCAGCCCACCCAGGGACAGCTGTAGAGACTCAGGTGGCCCAGGCTGATAGGGACACAGGAAGGGTGCCCCAGCCTCAAGGAGTGCTGTCTCCAACCAACTTCGGGTGCCACTCACAGTGATGAAGCCGAGCTGGGGGTCCTTGCAGCCACACTGGCTCCTGGGCACACACTGCTTCTCACTGAGCACAAAACCAGGATGACAAAGGCAGCCCTCCTGGCAGCTGTTTGCTGTTGATCCGCCATTGCATTGGGCATCCGGGTCCCGGCAAGAAGGTAAGCAGGAGGGTAGGCAGACCGTGTAGCTGCTGTTGGCAGGGCACTGCAGAGCTGGGAGGAGGAGGACACGGGTAATAGAGAGGGTGACAGGGGCCTAGTATGTATGGAGGCCACAGAGCAGGCAGAGGTTGTGCCATTGTGCAGCCCTCCCCATGCCTACGCTCAACCCTTCCTACCCTGCCTCTTGTCCACCTTCCCGAGCAACCTCTTACGGATTGGTTCACAGGTTTCCCTGCCAGTTGATTTGGGCTTGCAGTGGGATCCAAAGGGGCAGGTGAAGGGCCGGCACTGAATGGCTCCTTCAGTGCAGACACAGCTCTGAGTGCAGCGGCTACTGAGCCATGTCTTCCCTGCCTGTACAAGCCACAGAAGGAAGAGGGAATTAGGAAGGTGTGGGGGGTGGTTCATCTCATCCTCCTTACTCTCACTCCTGGAGCCTCAGCCTCTCATTCTACTGGCTGCCAGCACAGGCCACGAGAGTAGGTGCTCGTTTCTTCTATGTCCTGTGCCACTGCCCGTTGGTTTGGTGTCTCGCAATGTAGTCGGAACATACTACTGATTCTCTCCTGGAAATTTTTGTTAGCCAGAGACCCCTGACCCAGGTGTGGTATATTTGGGATTCAATGTACACAGGTCTCCGTGATAGCTGCCACCCCCCAGTTATTTGGATTCCTCAGATGAAATCCAAACCATGTGCCCTGTGCCAGACTTGGCTGGCACAACCTGCACCGTCCCCAGCCCACCCAGGGACAGCTGTAGAGACACAGGCGGCCCAGGCTGATAGGGCCACAAGAAGGGTGTCCCAGCCTCAAGGAGTGCTGTCTCCAGCCAACTTCAGGTGCCACTCACAGTGATGGAGCCAAGCCGGGTGTCCTTGCAGCCACACTGGCTCCTGGGCACACACTGCTTCTCACTGAGCACAAAACCGGGCCGGCAAATGCAGCCCTCCTGACAGCTGGAGGGAACCTGAACACTGTCACACTTGTTATCTGGATCCCCGCACATAAGAAAGCAGGAGGGCACGCAGGTTGTGTAGCTGCTGTTGGCAGGGCACTGCAGAGCTGGGAGGAGGAGGAGAGGGGTAAGTAGAGCGGCTCACAGGGGCCTATAGGGGTCAGGAGGCCACAAGCAGGCAGAGTGGATGAGAGGCAAGTTGTGCCAAGGCGTGGCCCTCCTCATGCCTGAGCTCAGGCCTTTCTGCCCTGCCTCCTGTCCACCCTTCTGAGCACAAACTTACCAACTGGTTTACATTTGTCCAGGCCAGTGGCATTGACATGGCACAGAGTGCTAGAGGGGCATACGAAATTCCGGCAGTAAATGACTCCTGCTGCACAAAAACACCTCTTCGTGCAGTTGTTCGTGAACCAGATCTTCCTTGGCTGTAGTCCACGGAAAGACGGGGAGTGAGGGAGTGGAAGGGCCAGTCTCCTTACTCCCACTCTTGGCCTGCATCTGACTGGCTACATTGGCACTGCCAAGGCAGTAGGTGCCAGCTGCCTCCTTATGTCCTCTGCCCTGACTATAGAAATTGTGTCTCACATGTGTTGTCCGCTTGTACTACTGAATCCATCTCGCAGGGATAACTGAGGTAAATCGGGACCCCTGACTGCAGAGTGGTATCCCCACATTCCAACCAAAGCCAGGCTCTCCCCTATAGCACGGCACATCCCAATTTAAATTCCTCAATGGAAAACCCAAACCTGCTCCCTCAGCCAGACCTGGCATGAGACACACTTGGGTGTCCCCAGCAGGCCCTTGCCAGGGCCAGCCCTAGAGACACAGATGCCCCAGGTTGATAGAGACACAGCAGCCTCAAGGTGTGATGATACCGCAGTGCTTCCGGCCCCCACTCACAGGTATGTAGCCGAGCTGGGCATCCTTGCAGCCACACTGGCTCTTGGGCACACACTGCTTCTCACTGAGCAGGAATCCAGGCCGACAGATGCAGCCCTCCCGGCAGCTGGAGGGGCCCGGGCTGTTTTTGCACTTGTCATCTGGGTCCCCACAAGAAAGTAAGCAGGAGGGCATGCAAGCCGTGTAGCTGCTGTTGGCAGGGCACTGCAGAGCTGGGGGAGGAGAGGGGTAAAGTAGAGGGAGTCACAGGGGGCTAGAGGTAAGGAGGCCACAAACAGGCAGAGTGGATAAGAGGTAAGTGTGCCAAGGCGCTGCCCTTCCTATGCCTGCACTCAGCCCTTCCTGCCCTCCTGTCCACCTTCCCCAGCCCCTCTTACAGATAGGTTCACAGGTTTCCAGGCCAGTGGGTTTGGTCTTGCAGTAGGATCCAGCAGGGCAGGTGAAGGGCTGGCATTGAATGGCTCCTTCAGTGCAGACACAGCTCTGAGTGCAGTGGCTGCTGAGCCATGTCTTCCCTGCCTGTACAAGCCACAGAAGGAAGAGGGAATTAGGAAGGTGTGGGGGGTGGTTCATCTCATCCTCTTTACTCTCACTCCTGGGGCCTCAGCCTCTCACTCTACTGGCTGCCAGCACAGGTCACGAGAGTAGATGCTCGTTCCTTCTATGTCCAGTGCCACTGCCCGTAGGTTTGATGTCTCGCAATGTGTCAGGACATCCTACTGATTTTCTCCTGGAAATTTTTGTTAGCCAGAGACTAACAGCTGCCACCCCCTAGTTTGAATTCCTCAGATGAAATCCAAACCATGTGCTCTGTGCCACACTTGGCTGGCACAACCTGCACGGTCCCCAGCCCACCCAGGGATAGCTGTAGAGACATAGGCGGCCTAGGCTGATAGGGCCACAGGAAGGGTGCCCCAGCCTCAAGGAGTGCTGTCTCCAACCAACTTAGGGTGTCACTCACAGTGATGGAGCCAAGCTGGGAGTCCTTGCAGCCACACTGGCTCCTGGGCACACACTGCTTCTCACTGAGCAGGAATCCAGGCCGACAGATGCAGCCCTCTCGGCAGCTGGAGGGGTCTGAGCTGCCTTTGCACTTGTTATCTGGGTCCCCACAGGAAAGCAAGCAGGAGGGCATGCAGGCTGTGTAGCTGCTGTTGGCAGGGCACTGCAGAGCTGGGAGGAGGAGGAGAGGGGTAAGTCACAGGAGGAGTGAGTGAGTCACAGAGGGCTAGTGGTAAGGAGGCTACAAGCAGGCAGAGTGGATGAGATTCAAGTTGTGCCATGGAGACTGCCCTCCCCATTCTTGAGCTCAGCCCTTCCTGCCCTGCTTCCTGTCCACCTTCCCCAGCCCCTCTTACGGATGGGTTCACAGGTTTCCAGGCCAGTGGGTTTGGTCTTGCAGTAGGATCCAGAGGGGCAGGTGAAGGGCAGGCACTCAATGGCTCCTGCTGTGCAGACACAGCTCTGGGTGCAGCGGCTACTGAGCCATGTCTTCCCTGCCTGTACAAGCCACAGAAGGAAGAGGGAATTAGGAAGGTGTGGGGGGTGGTTCGTCTCATCCTCTTTACTCTCACTCCTGGGGCCTCAGCCTGTGTCTACTGGCTGCCAGCACTGGCCAGGAGAGTAGGTGCCCACTCCCTTCTATGTCCTGTGCCTCTGCCCGTTGGTTTGGTGTCTCACAATGTGTCAGTACATCCTACTGATTTTCTCCTGGAAATTTGTTAGCCAGAGACCCCTGACCAAGGTGTGGTATATTCGGGATTCAACCTACACAGGTCTCCATGATAGCTGCCACCCCCTAGTTTGAATTCCTCAGATGAAATCCAAACCATGTGCTCTGTGCCACACTTGGCTGGCACAACCTGCATGGTCCCCAGCCCACCCAGGGATAGCTGTAGAGACACAGGCGGCCTAGGCTGATAGGGCCACAGGAAGGGTGCCCCAACCTCAAGGAGTGCTGTCTCCAACCAACTTAGGGTGTCACTCACAGTGATGGAGCCAAGCTGGGAGTCCTTGCAGCCACACTGGCTCCTGGGCACACACTGCTTCACACTGAGCAGGAATCCAGGCCGACAGATGCAGCCCTCTCGGCAGCTGGAGGGGTCTGAGCTGCCTTTGCACTTGTTATCTGGGTCCCCACAGGAAAGCAAGCAGGAGGGCATGCAGGCTGTGTAGCTGCTGTTGGCAGGGCACTGCAGAGCTGGGAGGAGGAGGAGAGGGGTAAGTCACAGGAGGAGTGAGTGAGTCACAGGGGTCTAGTGGTAAGGAGGCCACAAGCAGGCAGAGTGGATGAGATACAAGTTGTGCCATGGAGGCGGCCCTCCCCATTCTTGAGCTCAGCCCTTCCTGCCCTGCTTCCTGTCCACCTTCCCCAGCCCCTCTTACGGATGGGTTCACAGGTTTCCAGGCCAGTGGGTTTGGTCTTGCAGTAGGATCCAGAGGGGCAGGTGAAGGGCCGGCACTGAATGGCTCCTGCTGTGCAGACACAGCTCTGGGTGCAGCGGCTGCTGAGCCATGTCTTCCCTGCCTATACAAGCCACAGAAGGAAGAGGGAATTAGGAAGGTGTGGGGGGTGGTTCGTCTCACCCTCCTTACGCTCACTCCTGGGGCCTCAGCCTGTGTCTACTGGCTGCCAGCACTGGCCAGGAGTGTAGGTGCCCACTCCCTTCTATGTCCTGTGCCACTGCCCGTTGGTTTGGTGTCTCGCAATGTAGTCGGAACATACTACTGATTCTATCCTGGAAATGTGTTAGCTGGAGAGCCCTGACCCAGGTGTGGTATATTCGGGGTTCAACCTAACCTGCACCATCCCCAGCCTACCCAGGGATAGCTGATAGAGACAGAGGAAAGGTTGCCCCAGTCTCTAGGAGAGCTGTCTCCCACCACAATGTGCCACTCACAGTGACAGAGCCGAGCCTGGCATCCTTGCAGCCACACTGGCTCCTGGGCACACATTGCTTCTCACTGAGCACAAGACCAGGCTGACAAAGGCAGCCTTCCTGGCAGGTTGACACAGTTCGTCTGCCTTTGCACTGGCCATCCGGGTCACGGCAGGAAGGTAAACAGGAGGGTAAGCAGTTTGTGTAGGTGCTGTGAGTCGGACATTCCAGAGCTGGGAGTTTGGAAATGGTAAATGGAGCTGGTTAGAGGGGAGCAAGCATTCAGGTCCACACAGAGTTAAAAAGAGCTGGGTGAAAAGCAAGTTGTCCTGTTGTACTCATCCACCCCCTTCCTGCACTCAGTCCTATTTGCCCTGCCTATTGTCCACCTTCCTGATATCCATTTAGTTTTGTGTGTTTCTATTGTCACCCGGTGTTGTCTTGCTAGTGGGAGTTAGAGGAGCCACCCTGTTAAGTGTAGAGACTTTCCTTCCGCCCTTATTCCTTCTGCAACCATCTCCTCAATGCAGGCTTCATCCCCATAGTAAAGAAAGGCATAAAAATTGCTTTTCCAACTCAGTGTGGGATACAGAAATCAGCTGGCAACATCCACCTGACCTGATATGGGTGGCCAGTAAGCAAGGAGGTGTCCCCTCTTTGGACTTAAAGAATATCTTAAGCTATAGCATTTTTTAAAAGTCTGGAAATGTTTTCCAATAAGAAGAGTTTATGACAGAAGATGTCAGTTTTCTCTGAGTAAACTTATACATTAAATGTGACCTGACAAATACATCAACCAAATCTTAGAAAATAGGAGAATAGGATATTGAAGTGAAAATAAAGAAATAAACCAGAAAAGCAAGGATAACTTAAAAAAACAAAAGCAACAGGTAATGAGTGAGTAATGTCCCTAACAGAAATTAAAACACACTTTGATGGTCAAATCATCATATCACTAGTAAATGAAGATAGATGGACCAATGGAAAAGGAGAGAAAGTCCAGAAATGGATCCAAATAAAATGGGAGTTTAGTAAGGGTAAATTGTGGCATGTGTTGTAGGAAAAGAGGGTCATTTAATAATGCTGGAAAAAATTGAAAGCCAAGGTGATTTGTATTTCATACTATTCACCAAAATAAATTCTTTTAGATCAAACATTTAAATGAAACCATAAAAGCACTAGAGCAAAATATGGACAAGTTCTTTTTTAACTTTAGAGTGGGGAAGGAATTTATAACTGTGGCTCAAAATAAAACAAAGAGTAATGAATTCAGCTAAAAAAAGGCAAAGAGAAGAAAATACTAGAAAAAAATTGTAACTCATAGTATGAGTGAAGGGCTACTCTTTGTAATAAGGGATTTCCATGAAATAGTTCAATGAAGTGCAACAATCCAGTGAAGGAATGGTGGGTGGAAATGAAGTGAGTCCATGGAAAGGGAAATTCACACAATTTCTACACCTCTGAAAATATGCACACTCATAACAGGAAAAATGCAGAGTAAGATGCTTCAGTGTTCACTTGGAAGATCCACAGAAAGCCAAAAGCATGCTAATACTGCACTGTGACACTGTGAGGAGACAGCACTCTCCTCCGTTCCCGGTAGGGATATGAATTCCTCAACCCTATGGAAGGTCACTCAACAGCATCCCTCAAAAATACAAATGCACACAGACCTGGACTCCACAATTCCACTTTTAGAAATGTATCCCACAGATAGGGGCTCACACACACACAGAAAATCATATCTGCATAAGGTATGTGAAAGGTTGGAAAAAGGAAGAAAGTCCAGCAATAGACGAGTTAATACATTATGAATACTGAGTTATGAAATAATGAAATATCATGCCGCTGCAAAAGAGAATGAGGAAGTCCTTTCTATATCTGGAAGGATCTCCAAGCAAGACTGTTCCATGTGTTTTTTATGATTGTAACAAAATAGGGAAAATAAATTTGTATTTATTTATGCATATTTATGCATAATACAAGACTTGGACTAATACCCAGAATCTGGTAAAAGCTGGCTGGGAACTGGGCCCATGGGTCAGGGTGGGAGGGAAACTTTTCACTGAGAATGCTGTCATACTCTTGAACCATGTGAATATATCACATCTGAAAACAAACGTTAGTCACTATTTTAAAAACGTGAAAGGTTCTGGAATTAGATTGTGGTGATGGTTGTACAACCTTGTGAAGATTCTAAAAACCAGTGAATTGTGCAAGTTTAAGGGGGTGAATACTATGTTATATGATTAAAAATACTAAAGGAAACTTTTTAAAGAAAGAGTTACAGAAGGATGCGTGGGAGTCTCCTACCAGGGGAGAAGAAAGAACTTGCCAGGGGCAGGGAGCAGTAGACAGAGAGGTAATGAAGGGTGTGGACAAGCAAGGCCTGGTGTGAGTGCAAAAGGAGAGGAGGTGGGGGAGAGGTTGGGACTGAAGAAGCTGGGACAGCCTGCAGGCTCTCCTACAAAGCAGGGAGGTACTTAGATTTTAGCCTGAAGGCAACAGTCATGCAGGGGAGTAATCTATCCCATTTCCTTTGGAAAGAGGAGCAGAGGAGCAGAGGGAAGCAGGCGATGTTGTCCAGGTGGTAGGGCCATTGGCTAAGAAGTTCTTACAAATGACCCACGCCAGGGACAATGAGATCAGAAATAGTTCAGGAACAGCTAGAAAGGAGAAGGGGAGTTTTGTGGGATGCAGAGAGGAATAGCATTTGAGAATGACTCCTCAAAAGACACTCACGACAGAAGCTGCTATTTCTCCAGATTGGGGGCTTGAGCCCGTGGGCCTGGCAGGCAGCCTCGAAGCCTTGCAGAAACTCACACAGGGCATTATTTAGGCCTCCAAACTCACAGAGGTGGTGTGTACAGCCAAGCAGGAAGGGCTCAAGGACCACACGGGTGCCACAGTTAGCCCAGGCTGGAGCCTGAAGGGCTGCTTGGCATTGTTTCTGGACCCTTGATAGGTCGGCCTGCCTGCAGTTTATCTCCGGCTTCTCCTGTTCTTTTTCTTGGTCCTTCTTCTTTTGTTTGCAACTGGGAAGAGAAAGTGGTCATCACAGAGACAGTCACTGCCCTGTCTATGAGCATGATTTGGGGATCCCAAACACTCTAAAGACTCCTCTTGGCTTCACCCAGAAGCTGGCCTGAGCTCTTACTAGCATTCCACACATTCTCAACCGCCTTTCACATTTCTTCTTTTTTTTTTTTTTTGTCACATGTATGTATGTATGTATGTATTTATTGAGATTTATTTGTGCATACAAGAGCTGGTGTACAGGCCAGAGGTGCGGGGGTGGGGATGGGTGGGGTGAGAGGATTCACCAGAGACAGAGTGGGGAGCAGAACAGGCAGACTGACCGAAATACACTGCTGAGGGGAGCAGGCAAGACAAGAGAGGTCTGCTGCGCCATGTGGGTCAGCTCCCTGGCTGAGGATGGAACTTGTGCTCCAGTGGGTGCAGATAGCTTCATAGTGCTGAGACTTAACCCCTTGTGCCACCTGGGAGGCCCTCCTTTCACATTTCAAAGCAGAGAAAGGAGGACTTTCATATTTCTCCAAATAATTCTTGGAACCCCTGAAGTCAACCCCCATGAAATTACCCACATAAAGGAATGGACACATCATCCTCTCCCACGTGTACAATATGGTCTAGAGTCCCAACTTATGTTCCTACAAAAAAGGTAGAATCTTAGGGACAATTACTTTTGGTCAGACTCCTCATCTACCCAGCTGTCCACAAACTCCATGTCGTTTGAGGCCAGCTCATCATTGGGCATCATTAGTTCATCCTCTGCCTCGGCATTGAAGTTCCCACACAAGCCGCAGACCTGGGTGGGCAGAGGACATTGTCAATGGCCCGGGGATCAGAGCATTTGCAGTTAGTAGCCCCTTTCCTCCTCTAAAGAGAAAAGCAAACTCCACAGTCCAGCACCATTTGGGGACTTGAGACAGGAGCTGGCCACAAATCCCCACGGGACCTGAACTCCATAAGGAGGGATGTGAATGCCACCCCGACACCTGGAGGGTGACTTCCGAAAAAAGAACCAGGTGTTTTGCTCACATGATTATGATAGGTAGAAGGGATAACCACTTGTAAGTGACGGCCGTCAAACTGGACTTTAATGCCAATGTAAACGTCGATCACAGTGTAGTTGCCATCAGAAGTGATAACGACATTCGGGATCTGGTTACGCGCAGGAAGTTGGACCTGTGTGCCATTGATCTACAGAGGCGGGCAGGAGATGTGAGTAGGAAAGGCAGCAAAGCTCTCTTCCCAGAGCTCACTTCCTCCACCCTGGCTCACCAGCACACGGTGTTCCCTCTCCAGGGTGATCCGGGTATGATAGATGTACATGTCAATCTGGCTAAGGGAGAAAGGGGCAGTTGGCCTGTCAGACTTCCCATTCTTGCCAGTGATCTTAAAGAAAGCTATACGCCTGTTGAAGTGGCACATTTTCACCAGGGTGTAAGTGCAGTTGCCCCCGAGGCCATGATGACGCCCATCGAAGCTCACATAGTAGGGTTCATCAGAGAGATAGCACGTTACTGAGCCTGGAGGAGGGAGAGGTGGCTGAGTGGCCCAAGCCTTAGCAAGAACAGGCATCCCCTGCCCTCTCTTCCCAGGCTCCAAGGAGAGGCAGGGAGCCTCCAAAGGGAGGAATGAGGAGGAAGGGAAAGGCTTGTGGGTGGAGCAGGTATTAGCTTGGGGATGGAACAGGTATTATTCTGCCAGAGACCTCCGATAAGTTCACAGCCCTGAGGCGAGAGTAAGGAGTGAACACCCAGTGGCTGGGGAGAGGGGGGGCGGGGGAGGAGGGTCATCCTTCCCTGCCCCCCAATCAGAAACTCCCTGGGACAATAGGACTGGGAAGCTGAGTGCTACAGACTTCAGGAAAAATGTGAGGGACAGTGAGGAGAGCTCATCTTGGTGGCTGTGGGGTCCTCCTTTGAGCTCAGTGGCCTCCCACCTGTCTTCAGGCAGCGTATTCGCCCCTCCATGGGCCAGCACATGTGCTTATACTTGCAGGAGGTGCGTTGGCAGGAGATGTTGTTGTAGGTGGAGCAGGTGCAGAGCCTGGAGCAGGTTTTGTCTGTGTACCAGTTCTCCCCAACCTGTGCAGGAGGAGGGGACCTGGGCATCAGCAGAACAATGGAAACTTGGAAGCCAGAGATGGGCTGAGCCTCCCTTTCAGCCCCAGGTCCCCAAAGATCTGTGCCACTTGTCCGCTGGCCTCCCTCACTAGCCTTCCTCAGACCTTCAGCATCGGGGCTGCTCTCCAGGCCCCAGCACTGTCTTGCTGGCTGGCTCTACCCTCTCGCAGGATCTGAGCCCACCTGCCCCCAAAGGCACGCACTGCCTTCTGGCCTCTCACCGGGTAGTAGGAGCCCCATTGGTCAGTACAGCCACACTGGCTGAGGGGCACACAGGAGGTTCCACTCAGGACGTGACCCTTCTGGCATTCACAGCCCTCGGCACAGGGCAGTGCTGTGGGGCAATCTCTTGGGGCATTTAGGCTGAGGCATGTGGCTGGGCAGGGGCTGGCACAGGGGCTGTATGTGCTGCCGGATGGGCACCTCAGAGCTAAGAAGAAACCAGTGTTAGGAAGGGCAGAGTGATTTCTAGCTCCCTGATTATGGGGCATCAAGAATACCTAGGAATATCCATCAGATAGATGAATGGATAAACAAAACAGGGTCCATCCACACTACAGAATATTATTCAGCCTTAAAAAGGAAGTGAATTCAGGCACATATTACAGAATTCTGAGAACACTACAGAAAGTGAAATAAGCCAGTCACAAAAAGATAAATACTGTCTGATTCCACTTACAGGAGGTCCCTAGAGTAGTGAAATCCAGAGAATATAATGGTGGGCTGGGGAAGGGGAGTTCTTTGCAGGGTAGAGTTTCCATTTGGGGAGATGAGAAAGTTCTGTGGCAAATGGTGGTGATGGTTGCCCAACAAGGTAAATGCACTTGTTGTCACAGAACTGTACACTTAAAAATCATTAAAATGGGAGATCTGGGGCTATGTATATTCTACCACCCCCAGCCCCCCACACAAGTTCCTGGAAATGAAAGGGAACAGACCTGGCCCAGGTAAGAGGGAGTGGAGGCAATAGCCAAATAAGGGAAGAACTTTTTGGTGAATCAGGTGGAGGAGTGCAGGGAGACAAGCAGAGGATGAGGGTCGAGCTTGGAGGACTGCAGTGTGGATAGGGAGGAGGGTCCTCTGTGGGTGCTAAGGATCAAGGTGTGAAGGGAAGGGCAGAGGAGGGGAATTTGGGGGGAGGAAGACAATATAGGGTTCTGGGGGACTTCTCCGGGCTTGGGGAGTGGGTGGTCAGTTCACTCACGGCAGAAGGTGCTATTCCGCCAGGCAGGGGCATGGCCAGCAAGGGCACAGTGGGCTGCATAGGCCTGCAGTGAGCGGCACAGGATCTGGGTGCTGCCCTTACTCCAACACTGGTCATACTTGCAACTGGAAAAGCTGGCTTTTGGGGACACCACCTGGTGACACTGGGAGAAGGGTCCTGGGGAGGGAGACATCGGTGTGAGAGAGGAACATTTGGGAAGGGAGCAGAACCAAACAGTTACATTGTGGAAAATTTAACATCCTTTTCTGTCAAAACCCATATTTCCTGAAAACCTACTACCTAGGACAGCCTCATCTGTTAGAATTCCCAAGAAGGTGAACAGGATCACTGGCTTTCTTTCACCTTGCTCTCGATGCTCCTTCTATTTCAGGCTAGCACTTCCTCCCTCCCGGACTAGTTCCCCTGGGGTGGGGGGGGGGCAGGGGCCAGCAAGGATGTGGCTTACCCCGAGGGTTCATTAAGATATCACAGTTCTTTTTCCAGGCGTCTGTTTCTTCCTTCTTCAGGCATTTGGTGGGCTGACTACTGAGACCTGTCACGTAGCAGCTGAATGAGGAGAGGGTGAAGGGATAAGAACTTAAGAACTTAGGGTTGGAAGAAACTTCCCCCAAATTAAAGCAAAAGTGGAGAAAGGACAGGAAGGGAGAATAGGAGAGGCGGAGAGAACCAAAGGGCACCCTCAAGTAGGAAATCCAGAAGATCCAGCAGGAAGGAAAGAGGATAGATCTGAGATGAGTTGTCCCAAGAGAGCGCTCTGAAGAGACAGACCATTAAGCCTGAAGGGACTCAGCAGGCGCGGGCATGAGAGGTCAGAAGAATTTTTCACCAGCTCCAGGTTTTCCCCTGGAGTTCCTCCCCAGTCCAGATCCCATTTCCCCAATTCCTTACTCACTATTCTTCAGATAAATCTTTTGACTTCCAGGCTGCCCCCAGGATGAGGGAGCTATTGGCGGGCTTTCTGTCCGGTTGCAGATTGTCATCCAAACTGTTATTGTTATAGTTCCCTGGGGGAGGGGGAGGGTCACAGAGGCACAGAGGCACCTACTGGCAGCCTCAGCCCACCACCTCTCTTCTCCAAAGAGGTATCCCCACTTTCTACTCAACACACCAAGCTTAATCCCTTCTTTTTGTTCACCTCCGGTTTCCCTTAACACCTACCCTCACAGAAAACATCCTCATCCAATTATCCGGTGGAAATAACTCAGGACACCTAATAAGCTGCCAAGATGAGCAGACCCAGGCCCCTGCCCATTGTTCTGGCTTTGCCCGTAGGTGCCCGGGGAAACTCACCGCACAGCCCGCAAAGCCGGCCAGCGTAGGAGGAGGGCACAGTCACTTCCACCAGGTGGTTGCCGTCGTAGCGAACTTGAAGCCCAAAGTCCGTGTGGAGAAGAATAAAGGAACCACTGGGCCTGATGACCAGTCGACCTTGTGCAGGCCACACTGGCAAGGTCACCCGGAGATTGTTCAGCTACAGAGGCAGGGAGGGTACTGTCTGGAGAGGCGCATGGGACAAGGACAACAAGGGGCCAAGACTGGGAGTAAGAAGGGGAGGTGGTATGTCTCAGGAATTGGGGGGCTCCATCTGCTTTGAGCTCCCCCCAGGGGGCTCTAGAGGTCAGAAAGGTGAATGGGGAGGGGCAGAAAAGAGGAGCTGAGCAGGTTGGTGGGGTGGGGCCTGGGGGATAAGTGGAGGCACACACCATAACCCTGTGACCTTTGAGCAGAGAGATCTGGAGTTTGAAGACCTTGACATGGACGGCTGTGACATAGGTGACCTCCGGGTTTCCACTGCGGAACTCGTTGGTGGCGGACACGATGAAGTTGTCCTCTAGATGAATGGTCTGGCAAGGCTGGGTTAGGGTGTAGGTGCAGGTGCCCATGAAGTGGTGTAGGGCTCCGTCAAATGTCAGGTAGTGGGGGTCCCCTGAGATGGTGCAGGTGGCACTGCCTGGGGAGGAGGAGATGGAGTTCAGGTCTGCATTGGCCCTGAGCTGCTTCCTCAGTCAGTCCGCATTGGGATGATAGCCAAGGTTCATGGGTGGTCAGATTGGATTGGAGGGGTCAAGGAGGGCCACCACCCCAACCTCACTGCCTGGGTCCTCGAAGATGCTTCCAGCCCCTGGTTATGCCCCAGTTCTCTGGGGCACCCACTTTAGGGCAGAACATGCACTCGCTCAAGGCCATATGGGTGCCCACCCCTGCTGTCCTTCCACCTGGCCACTCACTTTGGGCATGACAGCCATAGATGCCATTCTGCCGACTGCAGACTTCCTGGGCCTGGCACTTCCAGGAAAAGCAGTGAATACTGAAGCTTTTCTCACAGACACAGAGTTGTCTGCAGCCTGGCTTGTACCATTTCTCCCCTACCTGGGGGATAGAAGGAGGGAAGGAGAAAAAGGCTATTCCCAGGTCTGACTAATCCCCCCTCACCCACAAGGATGCATCCCAGGACTCCTAGTGAATGCCTGAAACCATAGACAATACCGAACCTCACGTATGCTGCATTTTTTCCTATATATAACATACCTGTGATAAAATTTCATTTCTAAATAAGGCACAGAAGAGATTAACAACTGTGGCTAATAATAAAATAATGATAATAATATACTTTAATAAGTATATCTCTATACTTATACTTTAATAAGTATATCTCTATACTCTATAATAAGTATAGCTCTATAAGTATATCTCAATACCCTATTGTCTGTAAAATGTTCAGACCACAGAGGTCCTGGGTAATGGAAACATGGAGAATGAAACTATGGACGAGGGGGGCTTACTGGACTAGTCCAATGCTATCAAATCATCAACCTATTCACTGGTGAGGGCGTGCTCCTGTCTCCCAAAGCTCTACCTTCACGGCTAAAATCTAACATCTGCTCACTTATTCAATGATGCCCTCATTTGTTTCTTTACTGTTTCGCCATTTAGCTGTCTGCACTGGGGCAAGTGTTGACGATTTGGTAATGAGTTGGATGGACCATGTTTCTGCCCCCTCACAGAACTCATTGTGTGGGGGAGGGAGGGAAAGAATCAAGAAGTCAGCTGAAAATTCACGTGCCCCAACACCATATGCGCGCAAAGATGACAAGCAGGGCACTCAATGGCAGTTTGCTGTCATCGACAGGCAATAAGCACTTGCTACAAGAGTTGAAATGCTTTTTGCTTTGCTATCAGTAAGGCTTCAAGGAGGAAGTACATTTTAACAGGACCTCAAAGATTCCAATAGCACTGGTGTCTGGGAGGCAGAGCAGGGCAAAAGGAACTGTAGAAAGGAGAACTTGAGGAGAGAGGAAGGCGCGGACAGAGAGCTCTCAGTGGGCCAGCCTGGAAGGAGGAGTGGGGAGTCAGTGGCGGAGGCCTTGGATGGACATCAGCACCATTTGCAGACCTTAAGGGAGCGGCAGGCAAAGGAAAAGGAGGAGCCCCAGATACCGCTCTGGCTCCACAAGCTTCCTGGAGGCTGTGGAGACAGCAGCCAAGGCAGGGCCTGAAATCCTGCAGCAAGTAGGAGAAAAGACGGGGTTTGGAAAGATGCAGGGGAGACACAGAAGTACCTTCAGAGGATGAGAAACTCTGGGAAATGACAGGGCAGGGAGGGGGAGTAGCGGGCAGGGCAGGAGGGGAGAGGACCAGGGGTCTCATGCTCAAGGCAGTGTGGGTATAACTGCGCTGTGATTCCTTCCCATCAGTGAGCGTACTAGGGCTGAAGAGAAAAGAACATCCCATCGGAGCCCAAATCTTCCTCTCCCATTCTACCTCTTCCCACTTCCCCACTTCACTGTCCTGCCCACCAGCTTGCCACAGACTTCAGAACCAGGATGAGTGCTTTGGGCTGCCTGCCCAGTGGCTCACCTTAAAGTAGCCATCTACGGCGTCCAAGCACCCGCACTGGCTCCGGGGGACACAATCGAACCCACTGAGGATGTAGCCTGGATTGCACTCGCAACCCTCCACGCATCTCTCCTGGCAGGACATGCCATTGAATTGGGGGTGGCAGGTGTTGGGGCACAGACTGGCACAGAGAGTGTACCTGCTATTGGGTGGGCAGATCAGAGCTGGTGGAGGAGAAGAAGCACAGAAGAGGACGGCATGGGGAGGACAGGGGAAAAGGACAAGGTGAGCCACAGCCTGTTCACAGCCCAGAGTCAGAAGACCCACAGCTAGAGGCTTCTCTCCCCTCTGGAGAGGAGTGTGGCTGAGAAAAGCCCCATCGAGGGGCTTGGCTTTCACCCGGGCCTGGGGAAGCAGCCTGAAGGGACCTCCTGAGAGGCACATGGGGGGAGCAGACCAATCAAGAGCCTCAACAGCACCGATGTGTAGACACATCCGAGGTGGACTGTGGGGGAGAGGAGGGAGGGGAGGAGGGCGCCACCCATGAGGCCTCCATTAAGGGCATGCCCTGTCCTGAAGCAGGCTCCCCAGAGAGCTGGACCAGAATCTGGGAGCATCACAGGTGCCTCTCAGCACAACTCACGGCAGAACTGGGGTCCCCTCCAGGGTTTCACCGCATAACCAGCTTCCTGGCAGGTCTCAGTTAAGGCTGACAAGTGGGAGCACAGCATCTGCTGCAGTCCCTGGAAGTTACACATGTCAAGCATGCAGTTGTCGAAGAAGGAGAAGGTCATGATGTGAGGCAGGCATGCCCTGAGGAGAGAAGACAGGTCAGGGGGTGGTCCCAGGTACCAAGTGTGCCTCCCCACAACCCCCAGCAGGCCCGTCCTGCTTTCTTTCATACTCAAAGGCTCCGTGGGATGCCACAAGCTGTCCACAGATCTCAGGCCCTGACAAACTGTTTAGCAAGCTTGAGTCACAAGATGGGGTGATTTCCTGGCTCCTCTGGCACCTAGAAGATACCCACCCCCAAAACCCTCAAGGCCAAGGCTCCCCACCAGTCCCGACCATTTACCCTGACAGTGTCTGGCTCTTGGCAACTCCCTAGTGGAGAACATTTGAACGCCAAGCCTTACTGGGGTGGAAAACTCTGGGGTGGCCTAGCAAAACGTGGGGCTACTCACAAGGCCTGAGGACAGAGGGTGGGGGGGGAAAGGGCCATAGAGATTTCATAAGCTTGTTAGGGATGGGGGAGCAGGGAGAAGAATGCCAGAAGTGGGGGTATGGAGAAGAGGCGTGAGGAGAAAGGGGGTGATGCGAGCTAGGGTGCATGTTTCTGAGACAAGGCAAAGGAGCAGGGGCACCGAGAGGGGCATGGGATGTCCCACTCTTTGTCCTCATTGTCCACTATCTGCCAGCTGTTCCCCAGCTCCTCCTGGTCTTGCGCTGGAGTGCCATCTGGCTTCTTGTTGTCATTGCTGCTGTCGCCATCATAGTTTCCACAGAAGCCACAGAGTTTGCCAGAATAGGTGCTGGGGACCCCGGAAAGGAGGCATTAGTGGAGAGAAGGGGCCTCATTTGACGGAGGGATCAAAGCTGAGAGGGAGAAGTTGGGGGCGTGGGAAGGAAGGCAAGACAGGGCTAGGTGGTGCAGACTGCAAACCAGGGTTTGTAGCCAGAGGCCAGCTTGGCAGGGTCCTGCAGCCCTCAACCTGCGCCATCTCTACAGTCTCCCTTCAATCCCTTCTGTTCCCATTCCCTCTTCCAGCCATTAGCAAACCTCTTGCTTCCTCTAAACCATTCCAGTTTCTTCTTGCATTGACTGTTCAGGACTTCTAATAGTGTTTCCCTTGTTTGTCCATCTGGGGAGCCACTTTTCCTTTAATACTAGGGTCAGGCAACCACTCCTCTGAAAGCTGTTAGCACCCCTTCTAGCACATTCCCACAGCATTGTGCATACATGCTGCTATTATCGCACTGTCCCATAACCATTTCCTCCTATCTCCTTATCCAAAGGGAGGCCTGTCACCTGAGCCAGGTGCTGGCATGGGAGGGGAAAGGGCTGGGGGAGGTTTGGAGCAGGGAGAAGTGGCAGCGATCCTGTTGGGTTGCCCCCTCACCTGGGCACAATGATAGACAGCTGCTGGTCACCATCCCATCTGATCCGCAAACCAAACGTTGTCTGCACCTCCACAAACCGCCCGCTTGCTGCCAGGTAGATGCCTTTTTTAAGCAGGATCGGGAGGTTGACTTGCAGACCCCCAACCTGAAAGGGAAGAGACAAAGATCTGGGTGTCAAGGTGAACCCTCAGCAGACACCCATGCCCACGCTGGAAGGCATGACACCCTCTATGGTAATCCTGAAGACCTCTTCCCCTGGGAGGGTTCTGGAGCTGACAACAGCCTCTGCTGGTTATTTGATGTAAACCCATCCCTGAGAGACTTTGGAGGTGGAGGTACTGGCCAGGACTCAGCCATGGCAGCCCACAGACAAGGCTGCAGCCAGGCCTGGTGGCACTGACACAAATAAAACCAAAATGGGACTCACCAGCGTTTGTCTGCCCTTGAGCAAGGTGATGGTGGTCTCATGCAGAGTCACGTAGACTTTGTTCAGGCAGGACATGCCTTCCTGCACTCTCTCCTCATTCTTTGCCACCACCCTAAAGAATGGCTCTGGGTGGCAAGAGGGGTGAAGAGCGCTGGGGGTGATTCAACAAGCATTTCTGAGCATGCCTGGGGGGGCACTACAGGGAGAAAGAGCCTTGAGATACCCATCTCTGGAGTTTAAGAGTTGAGATTGGCCCCCAAGGGAATGAGGCAGGAAAGTCTGGGCTACTGTTCTCATCCTTTACTGCTCCCACACCAGTCTTCACGAAAGCTGGCCAAGGAAGGCATGATAGGTGTCTTTGGGTGCATTTCCCAGTAATCTGGGCTCAAGAAGGTTCTTTCTGAGCTGGATGTGTCGACCCTTCCTTCACTGAAAGCCTTCTCCCAGCCTGTCTCTCTTGGCCACTCCTCCCGGCCCTTTCCTCCTGCTCACTGCACCCCACACCTGGCAGTTGTGACCTCAGGCCCTTTGCCCAAGCCCTACCTGTTGAGTTGCCACAGGGTTGGGCCAAGATGTAGGTACATTTGCCCATGAAGCTGAAGGGCCTCCCATCAAAGGTGAGATAGTGAGGGTCTCCATAGACAAAGCAGATGGCAGAGCCTGCCAAGGGAGGAGGGGGATTCAAGGAGCTGAGTCCAACACCCCCTCAGGCAAGTCAGGCCCCACAGCCCACTGACCCTGCAGCCCACTCTGGCACTCTGCTTAAGGGAGGGATGGGGACCCAGGTGTCATACCCGCTCTGGCAAGCTGGGCCAGCACAAAGGAAGGGGCTCACCATAGGGATGGCATCCATACTGGCCATTCTTCATCTGGCACACTGTGTTTTTCCTGCACCGAGAGACCTGGCACTCCTTCTGACCACCAGGCAAGCAGCGGCAGTGTTCTGTGCAGTTGGGGCTGAACCACATTGCCCCAACCTAGGGGCAAGGAATCCCCAGTTACAAAACTGTAGCTCTTGGGGGTCCTTCCCCTTCTTCACTAGGCCAGCAGAACTGACCTTGCTTTCACCACCACCCACCAAATATATGTGCCCACCCCAAGACATTTATACACGCTAGTCTCTTGACCTAGAATGGACTTATTCCTCCCTCTTTCTAAATGATACCTACAAAACCTGTAGAGTTAAACTCAAGGTCATTACTTTCTCAGCGTGACTTCCCAGACCTCACTGAGCTGCATCCTCCAGCTGAGGACTTAACCACATTTGTGTTTCTGTGCCTGTTATTTTGTACTTGTTTGATTGCAAGCGCCTCTGTGGAGGATCAAGTCTGGCTTTACTCCCTGTCTTAACCTCAACATGGAGCACAGTGCCTGGCAGGGAGATTTTCATTCAAAAAATTCTTGCTGAGGGCCTCCCCGGTGGCGCAGCGGTTGAGCGCTGGGTTGCGAAGCTGCCCGTGGCCTCTGCGGCACCGGTTCGATCCCCGGCTGCTCTCCGGCCACCGGAGGAGGGTCCCGCATGGCGCGCAGACCTCTCCTGCCGCCCGCTGCTCCCCTCAGCAGTGTATTTCGGTCCTTCTGCCTGCTCTGCTCCCCACTCTGGCTCTGGTGAATTCTCTCACCCTCCCGCACTTCTGACTGTACCCAGTGCATGTATAAACAAACAAACAAAACAAATAAATAAATAAATAAAACATGCCTCTATTAAAAAAAAAAAAATTCTTGCTGAATTGAAAGCAGTAGTCAAGACTTAGGAGAGCAAGGACCATGCCCTTCTTATGGTGACCCCAATGCCCTTTTTATGGTGACCCCAATGCCAGGTAGGTAGAAAGTATTCAACCAATGTTTGTTGTATAATTAAAAGTTAAAATTTGTCTTCCAGAGCAGAGGGGAGAGACACTTAATGCAGATGGCTGTGATAGAGCTTTCTGGCTAGGCTGTAGCTGAAGTCAATCTAACACTGACGCTGAGATACCCAGGAGACTGATTAAAGGGGGTTCAGGAAGGAAGAGGCTTCTGAAAAGACAAGTCAGAACTCTGATCATAATGAGAAAAACACCGACCTGAGAAGAGGCACAGGCCACTAACAAATAGCTTAATGTACTTTTAATGAGTGGGTTGCATGTGATATTTACCATAAATTGCTAACAATAATAATAATTAACATTTATTAAGTAATTGGTCTGTGTTACAATCTAATTTCATCTTCACAACAATCTTACGAGGTAAACATCTCTTTGTGCACATTTTATAGATATGGAAACAGATTAAAGAGGTAAAAAAGAACCTTGCCCCAGGTCACATGGAACCCGGGTGTGGTGCTGGCTGTCCCCCTGGGGCTCTAGGAACTCCAGTGGTGGTACCTTATCATAGTTGTTAAGACTATACTTTCAGGGATCATTTTTATAGTTCATTACCTTATAGTAGTTGTTGTTGTAGAAGCAACTGCAGGAAGAGGCCTTGACACAGCTGGAGTTACTAAACAAAAAGCCGGAATTACAGACACAGCCTGGCTGGCAATGATGCCAACAGTGGGGCTTGGGGTTCTTGCAGGATGCTGGGCAGGCACAACGTTCGTAGTGGGCATTTGAGGGGCAGCTCACTAAGGAGAAAACACAGCCTCATTAAGCCACCAGTCTACAACGTTCCTGTTTCTCCTCTACCCCCATACTCAAGTTCTTCTCTAAGAAAGTAGCCTATCTGATTCAGCATAAAAAGAAATGAAGTCCTGATACAAATGACAACATGAATGAACCTTGAAGACATCATGCTAAATGAAAGAAGCCAGCCACAAATGACCACGAATTACACAGTTCTTTTTAAACAGTCTAGAACAGGCAAATCCATTAAGACAGAGAGTAATTTTGTGGTTGCCAGGGATGGCGGGGGTGGGGGAGGCTAGAAATGGGGTGTGACTGATAATGCAAATGGAGTTTATCTGGGGGGGATGATGAAAATGTTCTGGAATTAGAAAGTGATAATGTTTACTCATAAATCTCACAAATATGATAAACCATTGAATTGTATACTTTAAAGGATGTATTTTATGGCATATGAATTTTATCTCAATAAAAAATTAAGTACGCTGGTATTTGGTTCCCAAACACCCACGCTCACCTGAGCCCTTCATCCCTCTCAGTCAGGGACAATAGTCCTCATTTCTCTAAAGTCACCACGTCTGATTGATCGCTCCTCTGCTAGAAGCATCCCTTTCCCCTAAACTTTTCTCCTATCCACTGTCTCTTACTTTGCTCAATGTTCAGTATCATACCTGAAGAAGGTCTAGGTGTTGTGGAGGCCAGGATCACAGTGGTTGGGGAGGTACTTGGAGCTTTAGAAGGCTTCCCCAAGGCTGTCGGCCTGAGTACAGGAGTTGCGGGCCGTCGAAAGGGAACAGTGGGCCTTTGAGTAGGGATGGTGGGTTTTTCAGTGGGGACAGTGGATTTTTTTGTGGGAACAGTGAGGTTTTCTGTGAGGATGATGGGTTTCTCTGTGGAGGTGGTGGGTTTCTCTGCAGAAGTGGTGGGTTTCTCTGTGGAGGTGGTGGGTTTCTCTGTGGAGGTGGTTGGTTTCTTGGTGGAGGTGGTGGGTTTCTCTGTGGATATGGTAGGTCTTTTAGTGCGGACAGTGGGTTTCTCTGTGGAGGTGGTGGGTTTTTCTGTGGAGGTGGTTGGTCTTTTAGTGCGGATAGTGGGTTTCTCTGTGGAGGTGGTGGTTTTCTCTGTGGAGGTGGTAGTTTTCTCTGTGGAGGTGGGTTTCTCTGTGGAGGTGGGTTCCTCTGTAGAGGTGGTATGTTTCTCTGTGGAGGTGGGTTTCTCTGTGGAGTTGGTGGGTTCCTCTGTGGAGGTGGTGGGTTTTTCTGTGGAGGTGGGTTTCTCTGTGGAGGTGGTAGGTTTCTCTGTGGAGGTGGTGGGTTTCTCTGTGGAGGTGGGTTTCTCTGTGGAGGTGGGTTTCTCTGTGGAGGTGGTGGGTTTCTCTGTGGAGGTGATGGGTTTCTCTGTAGAGGTGGTGGGTTTTTCTGTGGAGGTGGGTTTCTCTGTGGAGGTGGGTTCCTCTGTAGAGGTGGTAGGTTTCTCTGTGGAGGTGGGTTTCTCTGTGGAGGTGGTGGGTTTCTCTGTGGAGGTGGGTTTCTCTGTGAAGGTGCTAGGTCTTTTAGTGCGGACAGTGGGTTTCTCTGTGGAGGAGGTGAGTTCCTCTTTGGAGGTGGTAGGTCTTTTAGTGTGGGCAGTGGGTTTTCCTGTGGAGGTGGTGGGTTTTTCTGCATAGGTGGTGGGCCTTTCAGTGTGGATGGTAGATTTTTCTGTGAGGACAGTTTTCATTTCAGTGAGTTTTTCTGTGGGGACAGTGGGTTTTTCGGTGGGGACAGAGGGTTTTTCTGTGGGGACAATGGTCATTTCAGTGGATTTTTCGCTGGGAAAGATGGTCATTTCTGCAGGTTTTTCTATGGGAACAGTGGTCATTTCAGTGGTCTTCTCAGGGGAAACAGTAGGTTTTTCAGGAGGGCCAGTTGGTTTTTCCCTGGGGAGTGTTGGCCTCTCAGGGGTGTGGGAGAGCTGTTCTGTTGGGTGGACTTGATCTCCAGAGGGGTGGGTTTGAGCTATAGGGAGGAGGGTGGGGTGCTCAGGGATGTGAGTTTGCTCTCCAAGGGGGTGGGTGTGGTGCTCAGGGGGCTGGGCTTGTTCTCCAGGGAGGTGGCTGGGGTGCTCAGGGGAGTGGGCTGGCTCCCCAGGGGCAAGGGTAGGGTGCTCAGGGGGGTGGGTTTGCTCTCCAGAGGGGAGGGGACGGTGCTCAGGGGGGTGGGCCTGCTGCCCAGGGGGGAGGGAGGGTTCTCAGGGGGGTGGGCTTGCCCTCCAGGAAGGAGGGTGGGGTGCTCAGTGGGGTAGGCCTTCTCTCCAGGGGAGATGGTGGAGTGCTCAGGGGGGTGGGCCTGTTCTCCATGGGAGAGGGTGGTGTATTCAGGGGGTGGGCCTGCTCTCTAGGAGGGATGATGGGGTGCTCAGGGGGTTGGGCCTGTTCTCCAGGGGTGAGGGTGGGTTGCTCAGGGGGGTGGGTTTGCTCTCCAGAGGGGAAGGTGGGGTGCTCAGGGGGGTGGGTCGGCTCCCCAGGGTGGAGAGTGGGGTGCTCAGGGGGGTGGGTTTGCTCTCCAGAGGGGAGGGATGGGTGTTCAGGGGGGTGGGCCTGTTCTCCAGGGGAGAGGGTGGGGTGCTCAATGGGGTGGGCCTGTTCTCTAGGAGGGATGGTGGGGTGCTCAGGGGGTTGGGCCTGTTCTCCAGGGGTGAGGGTGGGGTGCTCAGGGGGGTGGGTTTGCTCTCTAGGAGGGATGGTGGGGTGCTCAGGAGGGTGGGTCTGCTCCCCAGGGTGGAGGGTGTGGTGCTCAGGGAGGTGGGTTTGCTCTCCAGAGGGGAGGGATGGGTGCTCAGGGGGGTGGGTCTGCTCCCCAGGGTGGAGGGTGGGGTGCTCAGGGGGGTGGGTTTGCTCTCCAGAAGGGAGGGATGGGTGCTCAGGGGGTGGGCCTGTTCTCCAGGGGAGAGGGTGGGGTGCTCAGGGGGGTGGGCCTGTTCTCCAGGGGTGAGAGTAGGGTGCTCAGGGCGGTGGGTCTTCTCCCCAGGGTGGAGGGTGACGTGCTCAGGGGATTGGGTTTGCTCTCCAAAGGGGAGGGATGGGTGCTCAGGGGGGTGGGTCTGCTCTCCATGGGAGAGGGTGGGGTGCTCAGGGGGTTGGGCCTGTTCTCCAGGGGTGAGAGTGGGGTGCTCAGGGGGTTGGGTTTGCTCTCCAGAGGGGAGGGATGGGTGCTCAGGGGGGTGGGCCTGTTCTCCATGGGAGAGGGTGGGGTGCTCAGGGGGGTGGGCCTGTTCTCCAGGGGAGAGGGTGGGGTGCTCAGGAGGTTGGGCCTGTTCTCCAGGGGTGAGGGTAGGGTGCTCAGGGGGGTGGGTCTGCTCTCCAGGAGGGAGAGTGGGGTGCTCAGGGGCATGGGTCTGCTCTCCATGGGAGAGGATGGGGTGCTCAGGGGGGTGGGTCTGCTCTCTAGGAGGGATGGTGGGGTGCTCAGGGGGTTGGGCCTGTTCTCCAGGGGTGAGTGTGATGTGCTCAGGGGGGTGGGTTTGCTCTCCAGAGGGGAGGGTGGAGTGCTCAGGGGGGTGGGTCTGCTCCCCAGGGTGGAGGGTGGGGTGCTCAGGAGGGTGGGTTTGCTCTCCAGAGGGGAGGGATGGGTGTTCAGGGGGGTGGGCCTGTTCTCCATGGGAGAGGGTGGGGTGCTCAGGGGGGTGGGCCTGTTCTCCAGGGGAGAGGGTGGGGTGCTCAGGAGGTTGGGCCTGTTCTCCAGGGGTGAGGGTAGGGTGCTCAGGGGGGTGGGTCTGCTCTCCAGGAGGGAGAGTGGGGTGCTCAGGGGCATGGGCCTGCTCTCCATGGGAGAGGATGGGGTGTTCAGGGGGTTGGGTCTGCTCTCTAGGAGGGATGGTGGGGTGCTCAGGGGGTTGGGCCTGTTCTCCAGGGGTGAGTGTGATGTGCTCAGGGGGTGGGTTTGCTCTCCAGAGGGGAGGGTGGAGTGCTCAGGGGGTGGGTCTGCTCCCCAGGGTGGAGGGTGGGGTGCTCAGGAGGGTGGGTTTGCTCTCCAGAGGGGAGGGATGGGTGTTCAGGGGGGTGGGCCTGTTCTCCAGGGGAGAGAGGGGCGTGCTCGGGGGGGTGGGCCTGCTCTCTAGGAGGTATGGTGGGGTGCTCAGGGGGTTGGGTCTGTTTTCCAGGGGTGAGGTTGGGGTGCTCCGGGGGATGGGTTTGCTCTCCAAAGGGGAGGGATGGGTGCTCAGGGGGGTGGGCCTGTTCTCCAGGAGGAACAGTGGGGTGCTCAGGGAGGTGGGCCTGCTCTCTAGGAGGGATGGTGAGGTGCTCAGGGGCTTGGGTCTGTTTTCCAGGGGTGAGGGTGGGGTGCTCAGGAGGGTGGGTTTGCTCTCCAGAGGGGAGGGATGGGTGCTCAGGGGGGTGGGCATGCTCTCCAGGGGAGAGGGTAGGGTGTTTGGGGGGTGGGTTTGCTCTCCAGAGGGGAGGGTGGGATGCTCAGGGGGCTGGGCCTGCTCTCCAGTTGGTTGGGTGGGGTGCTCAGGGGAGTTGGCCTGCTCTCCAGGGGGTTGGGTGGGGTGCTTAGGGAGGTGGGCCTGCTCTCCATGGGAGATGGTGGGGTGCTCAGGTGGTTGGGCCTGCTCTCCAGGTGGGATGGTGGGGTGCCCAGGGTGGTGGGCCTGTTCTTCAGGAGTGAGGGTGGGGTGCTCAGGGGTCTGGGCTTCCTCTCCAGGGAGTTGGGTGTGCTGCTCAGGGGGGTGGGCCTGCCCTCCAGGGGAGAAGGTGGGGTGCTCAGGGGTGTGGGCCTGCTCTCCAGGTGGTTGGGTGGGGTGCTCCGGGGGATGGGCCTGTTCTCCAGGGGAGAGGGTGGAGTGCTTAGGGGGGTGGGTTTGCTCTCCAGAGGGGAGGGATGGGTGCTCAGGGGGGTGGGTCTGCTCCCCAGGGCTGAGCGTGGGGTGCTCAGAGGGCTGGGCCTGTTTTCCAGGGGCCTGGGTGAGGTGCTCAGGGGGGTGGGTTTGACTTCCTGGGGTGAGTGTGCGGTGCTCAGGGGGTTGGGTCTGCTCTCCAGGGATGAGGGTGGGGTGCTCAAGGGAATGAGTTTGCTCTCCATGGGGCAGGGTGGGGTTCTTAGGGGATTGGGTCTGCTCTCTGGTGGTGAGGATGGGGTGCTCAGTGGGGTGGGTTTGCTCTCCAGTGGTGAAGGTGGGTTGCTTAGGTAGCTGAGCCTGTTCTCCAGGGGGGAGGTTGGGGTGCTCAGGGGGGTGGGTTTGACCTCCAGGGGTGAGGATGGAGTGCTCACTGGGGTATGTCTGCTCTCCAGGGGTGAGGGTTGGGTTCTCAGAGGGCTGAGCCTGTTTTCCAGGGGGGAGGGTGGGGTGCTCCGGGGGGTGGGTTTTCTCTCCAGGGGCCAAAGTTGAGTGCTCAGGGGGCTGGGCCTGTTCTCCAGGGGGGATGGTGGGGTGCTCAAGGGAATAGGCTTGCTCTTCATGGTGGAGGGTAGGGTGCTCAGGAGGGTGGGTTTGCTCTCCAGGGGTCAGGGTGGGGTGTTCAGTGGGGTGGGTTTGTTCTCCGGTGGGGAAGGTGGGGTGCTCAGGGGGCTGAGCCTGTTCTCCAGGGGGGATGGTGGGGTACTTAAGGGAATAGGTTTGCTCTCCATGGGGGAGGGTGGGGTGCTCAGGGGGGTGGGTCTGCTCTCCAGAGGTGAGGGAGGGATTCTCAGTGGGGTGGGTTTGCTCTGCAGTGGTGAAGGTGGGGTGCTCATGGGGCTGCTGTTCTCCAGGGGCAAGGGTGGTGTGCTCAAGAGAATAGGTTTGTTCTCCTCGGGGGAGGGTGGGGTGCTCAGGGGGGTGTGTTTGTTCTCCAGTGGGGAGTGTGGGGTGCTCAGGGTGCAGGGTTTGCTCTCCAGGGGTGAAGGTAGGGTGCTCAGGGGGTTTTGTTTGCTCTCTAGGTGGGAGGGTGGGGTGCTCAGGGATTTGTGCCTGCTCTCCAGGGGTGAGTGTGGGGTGCTCAGGGGTGTTGGTTTGTTCTCCAGGGGTGAGGGTGGGGTGCTCAGGGGGTTGGGTCTGCTCTCCAGGTGGGAGAGTGGGGTGCTCAAGGGTGTGTGTTTGCTCCTCAGGGGGATGGGTGGGGTGCTCAGGGGGATGGGTTTGTTCTCCTGGGGCTAAGCTTGGGTGCTCAGTGTGGTGGGCCTGCTCCCTTGGGCCAAGGGTGGGGTGCTTCTCAAAGTGGGATTGTTCTCCAGGTATGAGGGTGGGGTGCTCTGGCAGGTGGGTTAGTTCTACAGGGGGTAGGGTGGGATGCTCAGGTGGCTGGGTTTGCTCTCCAGGGGCCTGGGCAGGTGTTTCTGGGGGCTGTGTATGTTTCTCTGGGGGGAGGGTGTTCTCTCCCGTGTGGGTCCTGGACTTCTCTGTGGGTGTTGTAGGTGTTTCCATGAGGGTGGTGCTCATTATTGAGATCTTGGGATTCTCTGGTGCAGTGACAGATATTTCACTGTGGACACTGGGTTCCTTTGTGGTGGTCATAGTTTTTTCTGTGGATACAGTGGGAACTGGAGATTGGGAAGGAAGTTCTGTTGGCAAAGGCCCTACAAAGGAAAACAAAAACAAAGCCTGCTGCTACTTAGTCAAAATCACCCCACCATTCTCTTCACTCACATCTGATTAAGCTCCTGGTTCTGAAGAGTTAACTATTCCTACCCCTCCATCTCCTCCCAACTCCAAGATCACTCACTTAATACTCGGCAGAAACTGCCTCAACTACAGGTCAGTAATGCGCTGGCGTGAGCACATGAAGTGAGGAGACCGCAGGCCCCCCTCTCTGTGTCTCGCTCACTAGGGAAGGCCTTCTGAATCCAGCCATGGAAATTTATGGCATCAAAGTCTCATCCTTTTGAAGCCAACCTTCTGATAGGGCCGGGAAGGCAGACGCGGGGAGAATGTAGAAAACAAAGTCGGGGACATCTGAGGTATGAGAGGATTTGCATTTGCAGTGGCACGTGCAGACAACCCAGTGCTGCTCAGCCCAGAGCACGGCTCTCTTAGCGGGCCTTGGGCTTTGTCTTACCTTGGCAGGCCCCGTGATGGACCACGATGAAGTCCACAGCAATGACGAAGGCAGTGTTGGAACCCCTGGTGGCCTCAAGTATCAGCTGAAGGTAACAAGAGAAAAGGAAGAGGAAGCGACAGTGGTCCCTGGCAACGCTTGACCCTGCTCCACACAGAGACAGTCCTCTGCCAGGATGTCACCTTGCTCCAGCCTTCAGCAGCCCAACTGTGCATGCCCCGCTCTAGGAGCCTGCTGTCCATCCCGGCCATGCCACGTCCACGTCTGCTCTGCTCCCTCTCCAGTTTCCCACCTCCTTGGCCCTGCCTGTGTCCCCAGGCCCCAGGCTCTGTCCCTCACAGTCAGGCCTCTCACCTGCATGGGCTGTTGATGTCCCTCAGGGATGGTGATGGAGACGTTCATCCAGTCATAGCTCTGAAACCCAATTCGGTGCCAGAGCAAACTGGGAGAGCTGCCTGCAGGACTCTCCAGCAGCAGTTTGAGACCACTGCCATTTCCAAGGCCATACATGCGGTAGGTGAGCCCCACACAGACTGCATCCGGGGCACAGAAGGGCCGGCTCACCAGTCTGAAAGACTGGCCTGCCTGGGAGGACTTATCAGCCTTCAGGTAGATAAAGTGACCCTCTGGGCAAAAGAAGGGAACAAACAAGGTGAGAAGCCTCCACAGGGCAAGTCCAAGGGCAAGTATTAGCAACACCCTGAATCTGTACCAAATGGGGAGTTGCCGCAAACACCCTGACTCCCCACAGTATCACCATTTCTCTCTGTGCTCATTTTGGGCTCCTCACTGAAAAAAGCAGGGACAGAGAGAAAGGGAAAAGCACCCAGCAAGCAGATGCCTCTGTAAATCCATCTGGCTACACTGGTAAATGCCAACCGAGTTCGAGGCAGTGGATTTGAAGCCTTGGAGTCAAATAAGTGAGATGCCTGGACTTTCCCAGGGTGTCAGTGATCCCACTGTCATGCAGATCTTCAACTCCACGCTACCTCTGTCACCTCCACAGCTCTGGCCCCCGGTGGCTTCCCAGCAAACACCCGCTGGCTGACTCATCTCCTATGACACTTCTTCCTCATTCACACCAAGCTCGAGAAGATTCAGTCATTTGTGGGTTGAGGGGTCCTCCATCTGCTCACCTGTATTAAGGGGCACTCCATTGGTATCCATGCCCTGGGTGGGCACATGTTTACTTCTCCGGACCCACTGTCCAGCATTCCCCAATGCCTGGGCCCAGGTACAGAAAGGATAGCCATCATCTTCAAAGTCACACTGAGGCAAGCTCTCTAGGGGATCAAAATGGGAGATTTGAGGACTTTTGGCCATGCTCTCTATCCCTCCTGCACCCCACCCCCCATATGTGAGATCTGTGTCTTCCAGGACCAGGCTCTCACCCCCACAGGGAGCAATGCTGATGGCATCCACTGCCACCGCTGGCTCTGGTGTCTCTCCAAACACGCCCACCACAGTAAACTGGAGAAAGAGAGGGAGGGGGGCTGGGAGTGAGACACAAAGTAGACACCGATGGTGCTCTACTCAGGCCCTCCTCCCAGCACCCAGACCCTCTGTCCATTTCAATACTTGGGGTGCCTGCCATGTGCAAGGAAACCTGACCTCTCTTTCGGCTGTACCTGAATCTGTCCCTGGCCTGAGTAATTGACAGAAACAGGCTGCCAGGTGGGTCCAGGTTGGCCTGAGAAGAGTGTGTGTTTCCGGATATTGCCTGTAAGGGAAGGGATCCAAGACAGAAGTGAGGTTACAAGGATTGAACAACTCCCAACCTATACTCAGAAGGCCGAGTAGCAAAGGCAGTACTCAGTTTATGTTCACCTCCCCCCAGTACAGACACACCCTTCTCTCTCACTCTCCTGTCACTTTTATCTGTTTTTCCAGAATCCAGTACCCTCCCAAAGGCCTGATTCCACTCCAGGGAGAGTCCCATACATACTCCAGATTCCCTGGGCCCTGAGGGATGCCCCACAGTTCCCCATCAGCCCAACCCAGGGAGATGAGCTTCAGGCTAGTGTAAGTCCTGTGACTGCTCCACCCTCACCTAAGACCGACGCGTAGATGATGAGAGCTGCCCCAGGAGCCTGGCCACGGAGGACGTAGTGGAAAGACAGGCTCAGACAGCCAGAGGACTGAGTCAGGGGGCTTAGGAGGACAGACTTCTGGTTTGGTTTTGCATTCTTGGGGTCCAGGAGCATGTAGAAGCCACCTAGGAAGGGAAAGGCATAGGGGAAGTGTCTGGAATTGGGGAGGGATGGAGAAGATGGCGCCGGGACAAGACTCTGCAAGGGTAGAGGCCTAGCCCCAGGGAGCCCCACAGTTGTGTAGGATCAATTGGTGCTGAGGTGGGTCTTCACCAGTTTCATGACTGGCTGAAGCCTTGGATCCTTCCAGAAGTGCTTGGCATGACTGGGTAAGGACATGGGCTCTGCCAGATGAAACAAGGTATCCTCTTAGAAGAAGCAGCCAGAACCTTTTCTTTTGGGTTCTGACTTTTTTTCTTTCCCCCAGAGTCAAAGTTGCATCATTTTCCTTTTTTTTTTTTTTTTAGATTTATTTATGCATACAAGAGCTGGGTTGCAGGCTAGAGGTGCAGGGGGTGAGAGGATTCACCGGAGACAGAGCGGGGAACAGAACAGGCAGACTGACAAAACACACTGCTGAGGGGAGCATCGGATGAGACAGGAGAGGTCTGTTGCACCATATGGGTCAGCTACTTGGCTGGGGATTGAACTCGTGCTGCAATGACTGCAGACAGCTTCATAATGCTGAGACTTAACCCCTTGTGCCACCAGGGAGGCCCCCTTTACTTTTTTTTTTTTTTAACCTACTGGACATGGATGATTCACATACAAAATGATGAGAAAAGAGGGATGTAATACTAAAGGGGCAGGGGAGCTGAGACAACCACTAAGAGTGCACATGTGCGCAGGAGCCCCGCAGTTTCCCGTTGGGTGAGCTAACTCCCACTAGGCACAGGTGGTGGGCTTTGAACAGGAAGAAGGCGGCTGGGAAGGAGCGAGAGAAAGGGAGTAGGAGAGAAACAAAAACGGGAAACAACAGAGAAAGAAGAGGGAAAGGAAACAGCAACTGAGGAGTTGCTGAGGAGTAGAAAAGGGGAAGGGGGTGGGAGAAAGAGAGAGACAGAAAATACAAGCTGGCACGTATAATAGGAAAAGAAAGAGAATTTTTTTTAAAAAATAGAGTCTGGGGCCTCCCCTGGTGGCGCAGCGGTTGAACACTGGGCTGCAAAGTGGCCCGCAGCCTCTGCAGCACCGGTTCGATCCCCAGCCACCGGCGAGGGTCCCACATGGTGCAGCAGACCTCTCCTGCCACACCCGCTGCTCCCCTCAGCAGTGTATTTCGGTCCATCTGCCTGTTCTGTTCCCCGCTCTGGCTCTGGTGAATTCTTTCACCCTCCCGTGCTTCTGACTGTACCCAGTGCTTGTATAAATAAATGAATAAATCTTTAAAAAAAAAAAATAGAGTCTGGAAAGATGGTGGTAGAGTGAAGACCCTGGGCCTGCCTTGTCATTTCACTAGCAACTGGACTGCAGCAGACCCCTGAAGGAAAAACATGATCATAGCACACACTGGGAGCCATAGCCCTGCAGAAAGGGATAGGGAAAAATTTAAGTGGACTGTGTTTATCATAATACTGGGGCATTACAAGCCACAAGAGGGAGGGGTGGCTGCTGCAAGGAACCCTTGTAGGTGCTAACTCAAGAGTCCCTGCCAACATCAGGGACTCTTGAGACCCGGCGCTGCACTATAGAGTTGGCACCCACAAGAGGGGGTGTTACCCTCTCTCTTGGAGAGGAGTTGGAGAGCTACAGGAGCGGGGGTGCAGAGCAAGGATTGCATGCTTGAGACTTTGGCCCTCAATATAGAACAGCTAGAGCCTGATCCAGTGGGGAGAAATGGGTTGGCTCACCTGTGTTGTTTGGATCACCTACTACCAAGTCTGCTATTCAGAACACCTGCCAGCCCTGACCTCAGGGCTAAAACCAAGACAAAAAGTGCACAGCTGCAAAAACCAGAGTTTAAGCATTGCTCCTGTTAATAACAGGAGCAAACACTCCAGGATAAGGCTCTGTGCTGGAAAAGAAGAGAGAACAACTCCCTGTGATGCCATGTCAACTACAGCCTGTGCCCAGTGCTGCCCCCAGTGCTCAGAATAGCCTGGAGGTGGCAGCTCACCCAAGACTATAAGAGAGATTAAGCCTGAGGGGCAGCTAGAGAAGGGGATCACTAAGGTCCCCACTATACAACTCTGTCCCCAAGAGCACAGCAGGCAGCTTGAATCCCTGATGTGCATTGAAGGTGCCCCTTTAGTGTGGTACTGCCCAGGTTCTTCCTTACCCATCATCTCTTGCTGGTCCCGAGTTTCTGATCACTTCAAAGGCAACAGTGTGAAAGTCTGTCCCTATTATAACCCGTAAAAACTAAAAATGAAGAGATAGAAGAAAATACCACAAATGCTACAGAAAAAAAAAAACAAAAACAAAGCCTGAGAGGAGTCTCAATCTAATAGAACTTCAGAACATGACTGAAGAGAAGTTCAGGGTAACAGCTATGGAACTCAAAAAACAAGGATGTGAAATAGCAGAATAAAAACAGAGAAAATACTAAGCAGTTATAATTAGGAGCAATAGTGCTAGGAAATACTATAACTGCATGTCAAAATACAGTTTTATTGAGAGCTTCAACAATAGACAAACGGAAGCAATGGAGAAAAAACTCAAAAGCACAAAGGCAGAGAACACATAAATACGACACCATAGGAAAAAATGAAAACAGTGTAAGAGCCCTTTGGGATAGTGTAAAGACAAAATAGCATCTGTATAATGGGGGAATAAAAGAAAGAAAAAGGCATGGAAATTTTATTTAAAGAAATAATTGCTGAAAACCTGGGAAATGAACCAGAAATCATCATCCAAGAATGCCAAAGAGCTCCAAACAAAATAATAACAGACAGGGCTCCCTGGTGGTACAAGGGATTAAGCACCGCACTATGAAGCAATCCACAGCCTCCGTAGCATGAATTCGATCCCCGGTCAGCCAGGGAGAAACCCACATGGTGCAGCAGACCTCTCCTGTCTTACCCACTGCTCCCTTCAACAGTGTCTTTCGCTCAGTCTGCCTGTTCTGTTCCCTACCCTGTCTCTGGTGGATCTTCTCACCCCCGCATCTCTGGCCTGTACCCCAGCTCGTGTATGCATAAATAAATAAATCTTTAAAAAAAAAATAAAACCAGACATACACATACCAAGGCACATTGTAATAACACTGTTGGAAGCCAAGGACAAAGCCAGAATACTAAAAACATCAAGAGAAAAAAAAGGGTAACCCACAGGGGACACAATCAGACTGTCAGCAAACTTTTCAGTAGAATCATTACAAGCACAAAGGGATTGGGAGGAGATATTTAAAGGACTTAATGAAAAAGTTTTCCAGGGCCTCTCTGGTGGCGCAGGGGTTAAAGACAGCGCTATCAAGCTACCACCAGCCACTGCAGCACAATGTTGATCCCACACAAGTTCCATTCCCAGCCAGGGTGCTGACCCACATGGCACAGCAGACCTCTCCTGTCTCGCCCACTGCGTCCCTCAGCAGTGTACGTCAGTAGATCTGCCGGTTCTGCTCCCCACTCTCTCTGGCGAATCCTCTCAAGAACCCCCCATACCTCTGGCCTATGCCTCAGTTCTTCTATGCAAAAATAAATATTAAAAAAAAAAACCCTGGTATATTGAGTTGGTGCTCAGTAACATTAGTTGAATGGATGAATGAATGAAGAATGCAAGATGCCAGGGGATGGAGGTGTGGAGTAGGCTGGGTCTGGTCTGCCATTTGTCAAGTAAAGCTTGTGGGGGGCAATAGGGGGGAGGTGGGGTGTCTGGAGTTTGCTTCTGCCTTGTAACTTGAGTGAATGGATGCTTAAGGTTGGGAGATTAAGATATAACTATCACTAAATTAACAATTAAGAAATAAACGAATCAGAGGTCACTAGAAGCCCAGAAAGTCAAGAGATGGAAGCAGGACCATTACTTACTCCCAGGGTTAGAGAAGTCATCCTGGGGCCCCACTTTAGGGACCCCCGAAGACCCATTCCTTTGGGTCCATTTGGCCCCAGAGGCACTCGGGACCCAACTCCAGCCACAGAGATCATTTAGGGTGTCAAAGCTACACACCTGCATCGTGCAGACTGAAAGGAAAGGAAAACAGGATTTAGCCTTTTCTACAGGAGGCTGCTCAGAAAAATACAACTCAGTCTAGAATCAGATCCCAGCGTGAGCAATGTGGACCTTCAAACAGACCCCATTCAGCCCCCTAGTGGCTGTATTCCCGGTGCAGATTACCTCACTTGCCCAAGCCTCAGGTTCCACATCTGTAGACTGGGAATAAGAGGACCTGTAAATTAGGTCATGTTCGGGGAGCAGCTAGCACCCTGCCTGTGTTCAGTAAGGTTTAGTTTTTCTCACTCAACTTTTGGAATTTCCCTTCCTTTGAATCTGCTCCCCTCAAATCTCTAACATCAGGAAGAGCGCTAATTGTGGGGATATCTGGGGTAACAGCCAGGGTGAGAAAATAGCCAGGGTTGGCCAAGGGTTTCCAAGATGCAGGACTTCAGTGGTAAAACAGGGACAACCCAGGGCAAACGGGAACAATCACTCACAAGCAGGCATCACCACAATTCCATGCTAAAAGAGAACCCCTCTTTAGGTGCGGCTGCTTCAGGAATCAAAGGTGTGGGATGTGGAAGTAGAGGGAAGCAAGTATCCCTAACTCTGGGAGCAACCAGGGTCACACTTCCTGAGCTATTCCTGCCACCCTGGGCAGATGTACAGGAGAAGGGAGAAAGAGGAGGTACAGGACTCACCCCGATGGCAGGAGCCGCGGTGGATAGAGATGGAGTCCAGGGCAATGTCCAGGTAAGCGGTGTTGCCTCTCACTCCTTCGAATACCAGCTGCAGGAGGGCGGAGGGAATGGCTGCCCTGTGAGCCCCTTGGCCTTGGGTTCCCAGCTTCTTGCATGAATTCAAACGGGCCAAACTTCCTCACCCCACCCCCAGCCACTTTCCCACGGGGATCCAAGTTTTTCCCTCTGCCTCACCCGGCTGGGCAGGATATGCCCCATGGGCACAGTGACAGCAGTGGGCATCCAGGAGGGGCTTTGGGTGTTGACATGTCTCCAGAGCAGGTAGCTTTTGGGGCCCTTGAACAGCAGCAGTTTGAGCTGGGTGCCCCATGACAATCCGAACATGTGATAGGCAAAATGCACACAGAGAGGACCTTTCTCCCATATGGGGGCGCTGCGCAGGCCTGCGACTCCACCCCGGTGGAAGGCACTCGAATCCATATGCAGATAGTAGCCCTCTGGGGGAGGCAGAGCTCAGGATCATGAGGGCCTTCCACCCCAGAGGGCACCCCTCACCTTCCCAGAGCCCAGGCATCCATTCCCAGTGGCCTTCGTCCTGCCTCCCAGGTCTGCCCCGTGCTCCCTCCCAGTGCTCCCTAACCTTAGGTTTCCTCACCTCCATTAGGGTAGCCGCCGGGGGGCCCGGTGCTGCCATTGGGAGGGGGCCCACTGGCTCGAGTCCAGTCCCCGTCATCTGTGGACACTTGGGTCCAGTCACAGAGGGGTTTGGAATTATCCTCAAAATCACACTGGGTGATAATGGCTATAAAGAAAGGGTCGCTGTGAGGCAGGAAAAGTTCTCACAGAGCCAAAAAGAGGGGTTGGGGTAGTAGCAGGATGGTTAAACTTCAAGTAAGCAGCCATGAAGGGTGCAGAGATTTGGGGAAAGAGAATCTGAGGCACAAGTCACCTCTTAGCAGACATCCAGGGGTCACAGAGTGACTGGGGAGTGTGGAAAGCTGAGGTGGGGCGGATGACTGGATTCAGCCTGGGCGCCATACACCATGGTATGGCTGTCGGTCATTTGAATCTGGATCTTTCAGGCAGAGGTTGTACCTCCACGGTCTCCTCTACCCTCCAGACCCCTTGGCCGCCCTTTGTGCTTGTATTACACGTTCATGTCATTGCCTGACCCTGATGTCACCATGGTGGCCACCCCTAGAAGGAAAGACGTCTGAGTAGTCCTGGTGGCCGACTTACAGCTGTCCCTAGAGGTGCGAACGACTTTCTTCCAGTCTGGAGGCTTCTCTTTCCTAGGGGTTGATTTGGAGAAAGAAAAAAGATGTCATATCTGTCATTATCTTGAATCATAAAACTCAGTGATTGTGAGTTCGCCTTCAGTTCTCATCTCTCTCCTGACGCGTGTCTCCCCTCCGAGCTCCTCAGATCTCCAGCGGTTGCTCTAGCCCTCTGTGCCCTGGCTGTGGTGGCAGTGGAGGTTCACATGAGGAGGAACCCAGCCGCTTTATGCCTTAGAGCTCACAACCTAGGGGGTCTCCTTCTTTGCACTAAAGGTCTTGAGTTGAGGCCTTCTTATGCTAAAGCCCAAATTTCCTCATAGAGCAGGGCTTACATGGGCCCCGAGTTGCCAAGTGGGTGCCAGCTACATGCAATTGAATACACAGATGAATAAATAACAAGGGAGCCCCTCTTCACCTTAAGAATTCCGCCAAGGGGCCTCCCTCATGGTGCAGGGGTTAAAGTCTCAGTGTTATCAAGCTATCTCCAGCCACTGCAGCATGAGCTGACCCATGGGTGCAGCAGACCGCTACCATCTAGCCCACCGCTCCCCTCAGCAGTGTATTTCAGTAGATCTGCCTGTTCTGCTCCCCACCCTGTCTCTGGTGAATCCTTTCACCACCCCCTCACCTCTGGCCTACACCCCTGCTCTTGTATGCATAAATGAATAAAATAGGGCCTCCCTGGTGGCGCAGGCAGTTGAGCACAGCGCTGTGAAGCTGTATGCAGCTTGTGCAGCGCCGGTTCGATCCCCCTGGTCTTGAAGCAACCCACATGGCAAGCAGACCTCTCCTGTCTCACCCGCTGCTCCCCTCAGCAGTGTATTTTGTCAGTCTGCCTGTTCTGTTTCCCGCTCTGTCGCTGGTGAATCCTCTCACCCTCCTACGCATCTGGCCTGTACCCCAGCTCTTGTATAAATAAAATAAATCTTTAAATAAATAAACAAAATAAATCTTTATTTATTTATTTATTTGTTTATTTATTTGTTTGTTTGTTTGGGTGGGGGGAGCAGAGCAGGCAGACTGACAAAGTACACTGCTGAGGGGAGCAGCGGGAGGCAGGAAATGTCTGGGCACCATGTAGGACCTTCACCCAGTGACCGGGGATCGAACCGGCGCTGCAGAGGCTGTGGGCAGCTTCGCAACTCAGGGCTCAACTGCTGCACCATCGGGGAGGCCCTCTTTTTTAATTTTTTAAAGAATTCCACCAGGAAGCAGGTTCCCCTCTCCAGGTGGTATGGACCACAGAGGAAGGTCCTCTGTTCTAGTGATGTTTAGGCTTAGGTTTCTGTTTAGGTTCTGCTTGTTCAACAGTCCCCCAAACCACTGTCCCTCATTTGACTTGCCTCCTATTTGAAGTCTCTCCTGTCCTCCTGGGTCTACCCTGGGTTTTGTCCTTTTTCTGAGGATCTGACCTCTCTCTCTTCCCTGCCATCCTTGGACCTGTCTCCCCAGCTCTTCACCTCCTCCCGCTGTCCTATTTTCTCACACCCATGAGTTCCCAGATCTAAGGCTATGGGGCTCCCCCATCCCTGTTGCTCATCCTCTTCCCAGCCTGCCTTCCTCTCCAGGGCTGTGACCTTCATTGTCAGCCTATTGGCCCCTCCAACATGCCCCCTTCCTCCAAGCCTGTGAGCCCCCTGAGCCCAGCTTACCGAATGGGGGCAGGCATGTGGTCCTGGCCCCAGGCAGCCCCAAACAGCAGCACCAGAGTCCAGACTGGAGGAGCCATTCGAGACCTCAGAGGCGGCTCTCGGGGGAGGGGAAGGCACAGTGAGGCGTTCAGGCCACTTTATACACCCCTGACCCTCCTTGCTTGGCATCCGTCCGAGGATGCCATGATAACTGGACAATCAGAGAACACGAGAACACTCTGGGAAGTGAAAACTACAGAGGTGGATATTTAAAATCCAATAAAAGAGTCATACATTGAAATTAAGACAAATAAAATGGGGGGGGGGAGCGGAGAAAGAAGAGAAAGAGACTTGGAGGATTGATCCAGGAGATCTAACATCCAATAGAAGTTCAAAAAAAAGACAAAGGAAAAGAAATTACTTAAGAAAAAACACACAAGTTTTCCCAGACTGAAATACTCGAGTCTCTTGATTTAAAGGGTGCTAATACAATGAATGCAGAGACCCAGGAAAGGTATGTCATGAAATTTCAGAATATCAGGGGTGAGCAGAAGATCCTAAACACTTTCAGACAGAAAAAAGCAGGACACATACTAAGGATCAGGAATCAGCATGGCACCGGCCTTTTCAATAGCAACCATGGATTCTAAAAGCAGTAGAACATTCTCTGCATAATTCCAACAGAAAACCATTTCAAGCCTAAAATTCTATAGTTGGCAACAGTGGCAAAGGCAACTGGAAGGTCAAATAAGTTGAGGACCGAAAATGCTTATTGGCAAAGAATTGAAAAAGACCAGTCGCAGAGGAAGAAATACAAATAGTCAGTAAATACAGGAAAAGACGGTCTGTTTTACCAGTAACAAAGGAAATGTGAATCAAAGCTGCAACTGTCCTATTGACAACAATTTTAAAGATTGATAGCACTGAGTATTGGCCAGGAAGCAAACTAATACTCAAATACATTGATGATAACACTGCATGTTGGTGAAAACTTCCTGGAAAGCAATTTGACAAGGACTGTTATACTTCTAAATGTACATCACTTTGACCCACATCACCTTTTTAGAAACCATCCCACAAAAGTACATTCATATTTGTACATATTTGTATACCTTAAGCAATGAATTGCAGCATTGTTTACAATAGGGGAAAATGGATATAACCCAAGTGTTTGCCATTAGATAGGAGGATAGATCATATTCAAGGAATATTATTCATGTGAAGGAACTTTATACAACTGTTAAAAAGAATAGGATTACTCAAAAAAGTAAAAATAGAATGACAGTATGATTCAGTAATTCCACTTCTGGGTAGATATGCAAAAATTCAGCAGATACTATACACCCATGTTCATAAAGGCTTTATTCACGATCGTCAAAAGGTGGAAGCAAACCAAGGATCCATAGACAAATAGATAAATAAAATATGGCTCATACATGTGGAATATTTTTTAAAGATTTTTGTTATTCATGCATACAAGAGCTGGGGTGCAGACCAGAGATGCGGGGGTGGGGGGGTGAGAGGATTCACCAGAGACATAGTGGGGAACAGAACAGGCGGATTGACTGGAATATAGCCCTGAGGGGAGCAGCGGGAGAGACAAGAGAGGTCTCCTGCGCCATGTGGGTCACCTCCCTGGCTGGGGATCGAACTTGTGCTGCAGTGGTTGTGGATTGCTTCATAGTGCTGTGTCTTAACCCTTTGCACCACCAGGGAGGCTCCCTACATGTGGAATATTATTCCGCCTTATAAAGGAAGAAAATTCTGACACATACAACAATGAAGACATTATGTTAAGTGAAATAAACCTATCATCGAAGGATAGATATTGTATGGTTCCACTTATATGAGGTCCCAGGAGTAGTCAAATTTATAGAGGCAGAGTAGAACGGGGCTGTGTTTAATGAGTTTCAGTTTTGTGAGATGCAGAGTTCCAGAGACAGGGTGGAGATGGCGGCACAATCATGAACTACTTTTGATACCCTCAAACTGCTCTACACTTAAAAATGATTCAGATATAAATATAGGCATTTTACCACAATTTAAAGAAAAAATTTACAGTATTACTTGATAATATGATACCATTAAAGTTTATTCCTAACACAACAAAGCCAAAACGGACAATTATAAATCAGAGACATCCTGCAGGGGAGGAGGCGGGAGAGGGATGAAGGGAGGGAGGGAGGCGCACAGGGGACTGAGGTGATGTGCACGGGTGCCTTGGGGAAGGAAACTCTATGGGGACTACACCTGAGGGGGTGGGGGACGCAAATATTGTTTAAAAATGAACAATGATATAAAATTTTTTTTTGAAAATTAATATAAAAAAATAAAATAAAGTTTACTCCTGACCTAAAAAAAAGGAATGGTGACAGAGTCAGATATCCCAGTGGGTGAAAGAATACCTAAAAGAATACCTGAAACCTCAAATAAACGTAAAAACTTCAATGTGAAAAAAAAAAAAAAAAAAAAAAGAATACCTGAAAGATGTTTATTAACAAAAATGGTGAGTTACAGGAATAAAAAAAAAACTGTTTATAATGTGATCCCATTTCTGCATAATTCCAGAAGAAAGGCATGTGTTTCTGTCCACAAAACTCGATTAATGAATTAAGGTCTGGCCAGGGGACATAGAGCAAGCTGGGCACTGCGATTGCCTCTGGGGTAGGGGTGGGCACCTCATGTCTGCATATTTGTGCTTCCAAGCATCCCCCGCTCTGCCCCCGTAACCCGCTTGGTTCATTATAGAGACTTCCCTGAAAATCATTTGTGGGGAGCTGGGGCTGATTTTGAGGAGGTCAGAATGGAGGGCTGGAGGAGGGGGTGGGGAAAGTGAAGAAGTGAAGAAGGCAGCGGGGCTGGCAGGGACAATGTTTTAGAGCTGTCTGGTTGTTGAGGAGACTTGGAGAGTAGGGCATGAGACTGGGGGCCAGTAGGGTCTTCTCAAGATAAGAGCCTGTGTATGTGCTCATGGGCAGAGGCAGCAGCGCAGAGAGAATAACAGGACCACACAGCACCACTCTCAGGTGGGTTTACTGGCAGGTGGGCTTACAGGCAGGCCTTCCAGCACCTCAACCACCACCCCCCGCCCCCGCCTGTGCCAATGCCCTCTTTCCTCCCCAGCTTCCCATCTGCACCACATTTAACGACCGTGTCAAGACTTCATCCAACCTGCATTCTTCTGTGGGCCAACGGATGAGTGTCAGATGGACATGATGAAGTTTGGGAGCAGTATGCGGAAAGAGTACCCAAGTGGGGGCCTCCCCGGTGGCGCAGAGGTTGAGCGCTGGGTTGGGAAGCTGCCCGCAGCCTCTGCAGCGCCGGTTCCATCCCCGGCTGCTCCCCGGCCACCTGAGGAGGGTCCCACATGGCGCGCAGACCTCTCCTGCCGCCCGCTGCTCCCCTCAGCAGTGTACTTCAGTCCTTCTGCCTGCTCTGCTCCCCGCTCTGGCTCTGGTGAATTCTCTCACCCTCCCACGCTTCTGACTATACCCAGTGCTGGTATGAATAAATAAATAAATCTTTAAAAAAAAAAAAAAAAGCGTACCCAAGTGACTGGTGATAGGAAGACAAAGGAGCTGGATCTGGAAGGCATTCTGTGGGAGAGCATGACACCACTGGAGAGTGGCAAGTGTGTGTGAGTGCGTGCGTGCGTGTGTGTGTGTGTGTGTGTGTATGTGTACACCATTGCTTTCAGGAGCCACAGGGGGGTCAGGAGGAGCAGAATAAAAGAGGAACCGGGGATGGATGTCATGGAAGATGAGGGAAGCTAATGCTGATGGATGCTAACATGGGGGCACTGGAAGTGGGGATGTGAAGATACTTCCAGGAGCTGGAAACTGCAGTTCTTACAGGCAAACCTAACTGAATCTTGTGTCCTTTTCATAGCAAAGTTATTGTCCTCATCTTCCGTGTAATGTGGAAATGGACCTCCAGAGAAATGAAGTCAATTGCCCAGCATAGGGTTCAGTGCTGACAGCCTGCTCCTGCAGTTCTGAAGAGGAACCCCTTGGGGGACTGCTGGGGCCCTCCTCCAAGGGGAAAGGATGTCCCACCCCACCCAGAGCAGCTCTGCTTTCATTGGTTTCCCAAGATATCAGCAAAAGGGTATTTTTGTCACTATAATGAAAGACAATTGCAGACTCTCAGTGCACACACAGGGCGGCACCCAGGCTGGGGGACTGGGCCCCAAATGAACTGAGCTATTAAGATCCCTGATTTCCTGTATCCTGCCAGCCCAGGTATCCTAGAAACCACCCCCTACTATCAAATCTATGCCTAGACATCTGACCTTTGCCCCTGACAAATGAACGCGATGCTTGGGCTGGCCATCCTCCAAGCGGTCAAGGAGGTGCCAGCAGTGTCATGCACCAGGTGTCCAAGAGTCATTCAAGCTCAAAACCCCTTTGCCCGGAGCCTCCTACCCAAATGAGCATCAACAGGACCTGTGCAGGGGTCAAATCTGGGAGGAAGACAGCCTCTGCCTCCTAGGGGCAAAGCTGGAGCTGTGAAGGATGACAATCCAAACTCGGAGCCAGTCTTCCTCCATACCTGGTTAACAGGGTAATCAGCGGGACGGGGCCCAGAAATGGTTAACTCAGGGAAGAGGAGGCAGAAGCCAATTGAGCCACAGCCCTTCCTGGTTGGGCAATAAGTCCCCTGAGGGCTGCTTTTGCTGACCTCCCTTTGGCGCCACTGAACTGGACAGTGGCAGCTTCCAACCTGCCTGGGGTAAGGGTTGGATTTCAAGGCAGGACAAGAAGGGATGGTAGTGGAAGGGAACCACTGGGCCCTGCATTTTGGGGAGCTGAGAATGGGTAAGGCCCTGGAAGGTTTGCTGTTTAAAAGAGGCAGCAGTAAGAGGAAGTATGAGAAGAACTGGTAACCACCCCAGAGAACTAAAGCCAGTCCCAGCCTCACTGTGTGTCCTTGGACACCTTGCTTACCCTTTCTGGGCCTAGGTTTCCTCATAAGAGGGAGAGAAGAGACTAGCATAGCCAAGGTTTTTTTTTTAACCCAGAAACGGTGTGGGGTTCACATAATTTTTCTTAGCAATCAATTGTGAGTTTGTAGACATTTGGGCATGACCCACATAATTGTTGTGGAACACACTGCTTTTTCTCTGTTGTCAATAATTGTTCATAGTGTCAGTTTCATCATGGGATTTTAGTGGCGTTAACCTTGACCAGCTTGAAATTACAGCAATAAGCGTCTGCTGGGGTGAGAGCAGCAGACTTAGTTGTTCCAGGAAAACCCTCGGCGGCCTGTGAACTGGAGTCGAGCGGATACATTTGGCCAGCCTGATGCTCACGCCAGGGAGAGCACTGGGGCTGTTAGTACCCATGGCCATGGTCACCAGACTACAGTCAAGGTGGGAGTTGGGGCTGCAAGAGGTAGCTGAGTTGGCCCCTGGCCTGGGGAGACTTGGCTGGCAGGGAGAGTGGTAGGCACTGTGTGCTGGCCTGGGGAGGAAGTGGGAGCTACAGTAGGAATGAGTTTGTAGAGAGACGTGGACAGACCTAATGCCTCGCTGACTGTGGCTATTTCTCCCCATGGTCCACTCCCTGTCCTCTCTGTGCCTCTCTGTTCTCCCCTGTGATGATTGGTGCTTCACATAGAAAAGGACCTG